GAGCGCGGGCAGGGCAGGGGCACATTAGCCCAGGGTGGACTCTGGTTGCCGGCCTGGGATACCCCTCGAACGGAGATTCCCCGGCCCTCAGGGGCACCGCCGAGGCGGACATCGGCCACCAGCCAGAGCCAGTCCCCCTAAGTGTCATCGTGTCCACCCGGTGAGGGATGACTTTAAACCGACGTGAACACCGTCCTCTGTTTTCTCCCCTCCTGCGGCTGTAGGAGGAGCGGAGTCACCGTGCTGGAAACCAAACACCCTCCCGTGTCCGTGCCCTCACCCCGCTATAAAGTGCTGACAGGCAAATATTTGCCGCTTGCCCCTAATCCCGCTTTGCCCTTGTGTCGGCAAATCTCCGGCGGATGGAGAGGGAGAGAGTTTTGCTGGCACACGGGGCGGCTGGGTCTGTCTCCAGAGCAGATGCCGGGGTTGCAGCCTCCTCCTCCGGCTTATGTTGATCCTGGTAATCCAGAGTGAGCAAGGAAAAGGGAAAAAAGAAGGGTTTTAGCGAACTGGTTGTCCGCCGCCTTTGTGCTCTGGATTCTCCTCGGTGGTGAGTCCTGCGGTGGTGAGTTGGACTGTGGAGGGGCTGTGCCGTGTTTTGGAAGCTGGCGAATTCCTTGCTGCTGCAGCTGCCTGTTCAGGAGCTCAGGACCCGGCTGTTTTCTGCCTGGGTCATCGCACCCACCCTCCTGCTGATGTTTGCAAGGTTTGTTTCACGTACAGAGTTGGTCGGCTGCAGGTGTCACAATCCTGGTTCTGCTTCTCACTTGAAACCAAGTTTAAAGTTTCAAGTTTAAACAGAGGGAGCAGTACCAGGCCTTTGCCTCTTTAAGGCTGAAGATCGAAAGTGGGTGTTTGATTTTATCCAGCTCAGGCTTCATGCACACACGAGGCAAGCTAGGATGAAACTTTGAGGGTAAAACATGTTCTCTGTCTTGGCTGGAACAAGGCAACATGTTCTTTCTTGATGTTTTTCTTATTTTCAATTCTGACGTGGTGTTTCAGAACATGCGGCAGAGGAGATAGACTGCCTTGCAGTAGTGTGTTTTATGTTTTCCAGATTTTGTTGTGTACAAGGCAGTTTCCTGTAGTCTTTAAATGATCCTCGTGGGATTGCTTGAATTTAAAAAATGTTCTAGATAATCCAAATAGTGTCTCCAAACATTCACATTCAGAAGACTGCACTGCAGTTAAAAAGTTGTATTTAAGATGCTTTGCTGCAAAACAAGTGATAGCCTATTTTGCTCTGCTTGTTGTAGTAAAGACAACGCAGAAAGAATCTTGTCCTGCAGAATATACCACCTAAGGAGTCTTTCTGCTGTGCCTTTTGCAATCAGATATGTCTATCTCATATTGGCCTCATTAGCCACCAGCGTGCTTGTAACAAATGTGGATAGACCCTTCCTAAATCTTTGTTCAGGAAGCCTAGCCATGGTATTTGACAGTATTTGTTGTAAACATGGTTTCACTACTTCTTCTGAAGAGCCTGTTAGTTCGTTATGGAGTCTAATTTTCACGTATAAAAGAGTCTCTTATGTACACCATCTGATAACAGTGAGTGTATTGTATTTGCAGTCCCTCTCTCCACTGCTAGAGGGTTACATAAAAGGAATAGGAATTTGTCCTAGTGTCCTGGAGGCCAGGATCCTCTAAGACTTGTTCTGTGAGTGATCCAAATCTAAACAAACAACTAGGGAGAGAAAACTCTTAAAGATGTAAAGAAAACTATGTAAAATTGTGGAAATTATGCGATGCACTCAAGGAAAAGTAGTGCTGATTTTTTTTTATCTCAAATTGTTATTTGTTTTTCTTAGTTGATTACATTTAAAAATTAACAATTGCCTGTTTGTCACATAAACCCTGAACTCTTCTAGTATTCTTTAGATGTTGTTGAGATTATTAAACTGAAGGGAACTGTAAGAGCCCTGAGTGCTTTCATTGTTACATATTACTAGGTTTGTTTATTTATTTGTATTACTATGTTTTTATGTGTTTGGTTTTGCCAAAGCAAGGAAACTTTTTAGCAGCTTGTATCCAGTCTAGTTCATATTTTCATGTAGTAATTCCTGTTTGTCCAGGGAGTGGTGGCTGTTTGTGTCCAAAAATTCTGTAGTAGTACTAATTTAAAGTACTTTGCCTAAATGTATTCTGAAGATGGTTTCACATTTGTAACGCTGGTAGAAGGAGCAGAGCCTTTTTGCAGAGTGCCTGGATCTCAGTGCTTGGTACAGCGCTGGGAAACTTGCTGTGCAGGGCCTTGACTTGTATACCCTTCCCTGTGATTTAATATTTTTGTCCATCAGAGTATTCTGTGTTTGTTCATGGTATAGTGATCTCAGCAAAGATATTTATAAACAGTTAACCCCTGAATGTGTCCACCATGGCATTTAATTTCTTGCTGGGAAGAAGGATGAGAACAGGAAAGCTCTTGCTACTGCTACAAGCCAGTTTAGGTTTTGAAAGTGAACCGGTTGGATGAGGGTATCCCTGAATAACTGGGCTCATGCCACGCCTGCGTCATCTGCGAGCCTGTCTGTTCCCAGCCGGCCCAGCAGTTGCAGTCTCATACAGGCCTCTCTTCCAAACTCTGGGGCTTGAAACTCTGAAATTTCCCTACACTAGAAAACCCACAAGAAAAGAGGGAGAGGAAATACTCTGTTCTTCCTGCTGCAGAGGAAGGAAAACAAGAGTTCTTTCTGTTGGCTCTGGGGCAGCATGAAGCACTTGGTGGCCTGTCAGTTTGAGTTGTCTCAGGGTGCTTTTCATTTGCCTTGCCCTCTATTTGATCTCCATGCATGTGACCAAAACCTGTAATTTTCAGTGTTACAGGTTGCTAGTTCACTGGGAAGTATATACAGGCCAGGAGTTGTCCTAGGGAGCTGCCACTGCTGTTGGACATGTGCAGTGCTACTGGTGGGCAAGTCTCAACACCCACCTGCCAAACTTCCCAAAACCATTAGCTGGAGGAAGCCTTTTCAAGTGCCTTTGAAACTTTGTCTTGGAAAGCCTGTGTGGAGTGGTAGATACAAAGGTAAAAAATCCTGCTGAGGAAAGGTCCCATTCCAAAGAGCCAGGATGTAATGGTTGTTGCTTTTAACCTATCCCAAAGTCTCGGAGGTGGCTGAAGTGCTTTACTCAGGCTGAGCTTGCTGAAGGAGTTAACAAAGCTCAGAGACCAACTTTGGAGAAAACTCTCCATGAAAAACATGAGAGTTTTTGAAATCTCCAGGCTTGGACAATGAGCAAGTTGGGTGTCATGAATCACCAACACTCCTTTGCAGCTGGAAGTCCTCCGCTGTTTCTATTTCTGTAGGTGTCTACAGGGTGCTCCTCAGAGTAGCACCCGAGCATCAGGTGTATGGCTTGAAGAACGTGTAAATAGTTGTGCGAGTTATGGAGTGGAAGAGCAGGTTTTGTGGCAGGGAGGGTACACGGTGACATGGGGAGAATGGTTTGGGAGTATGAGAGCACAAATGGGGAAAAACCTTTTAACTTCTGAATGAAATTTATCTTTTCAGCTCACCATACAGGCAGAGGGATACCTTCTCGAGGGGGAGTGAAATAGGATGGGAGCAGCTGAGAAGAAGCAAGTCTCTGGGAGAGTTATGGTTAGGTTAATTGATAGATATTAGTAAACAAGGTAGAACTCCTGACATGGGGCGAGGTCTGGTGTGTTCTAAGGAAAAAGGGCAGATGAGTTTGTTAAAAGTGATACTAGTGCAATTCCTGTTATCAGAAGAGTGCTCTTCTCTTTGTAAACTGACTGCTTCCTCAAACAGGGAATTTCTCTGGTCATGAGATAGGGCTGAGACAGGGTTGTCTTTGTGAGATATGTACAAGCCTGTGATGTTGTTTGAAGAAAGTGATTGTTTGAGTTCATGTTGTTCAACAGGAGTCTCTGTCTCTCCTCTGATGCAAAGTCTGATCCCTCGTCCTGTGTGGCAAAGTTCAGTGTAAGGTTTTAAAGAGTTTTAAACCAGGTCTTAGAGTGGAGGTGCAATTCAGTAGGTGCAGCATTAAAAAAAATTGTTAGGGTTGCCAACTTTGCCCACATGAGGTTAAAAATTAACTCTGTCTCATGGAATTCTTACCATGCCACTGGTATAGTCATGTCTGTTGCCTAGTTTTGATCTTTTTCTAAGAACAGGTTGCAAATACAAGGAATAGAGCTGGAATGCAGGTCAGTTGTTCATAGAAAGGGAAGATTGTACAAAGAAATTTATAAAACTTTACTGATTCTTCTGTGTCAGTCTCTCTTTCAGATTAGGGGTACAAGAAGTATTTTATGAATGTTGTTAGTTTGTGCACCTATGCTGTAAAATGCATATCCCTAGAGCTCAAGAGCCTTCCCACAAAAACAACTTTACTCTAAGGAGTCCTTAACTATAAAATGCTTCTTCTCTCTGAGGCATTTGTGAAATACATGATTGTTTTTATGCACTTCATCTTGTTACTCTATTCTGCTATGCCAAAATAAACTTCAAAACAAGGTTTGTGCGTATCAACATGTGGAAAATCCAGCATGAATTTGCAGCATGGTCTTATACTTGAGGTACTAGAAGAAATAAACATTCCTTTAAAATGTTTTTGTTTGTCATTGAAATGTGAAGGTTTGTTGGTGTAGAAAATGCAGGGGGAAGATTAATTTAGCAAGAAAATGTCACTTCTCAGAATGGAAACCCTAGCTGACATTAAGGCTGTGCCTGCCTTTTGTTTTTAGTTGTCCTATGTATTGTAGTCCAGCGTGTGTTTATATCAGTCACATTTCTTTGCATGCAGTGTTAAAGCACAAAGGTTTGGGTTGCCCAGTAAAAGCGTGTGTGTGGTTATGACAGAAGAGTCACTCTGTCCTTTTTAGAGCTCACTTCAGACTCTTACTTCCAGCAAACAGTTCTTCAGCTTCATGAATGTGCAGCTTTATGTACCTGCATGGTGCAAAATGGGAAAAGCTAGCAGCACAGTTGCCAAGAATTCCACTGGGGCTCTGTTTCCTGTAACAACAAAGTACCAAGTACTTTTTCCAGACAATTACTGGAATGAAATTATTTAGCTAAATCAGTGGTGTTGCGGTCCTGAGAGTTAGGGATTTTCTTTTCCCAGTTCTTTCTTCATCTTTGCTGTGAGGTTTGTATTCAGTGTTCTTTTGTTAGTGTGTCTTGTAGCCAACTGTATGACTAGATAGGTTGGGTTTTTTTTCCACAGTGTGCTTTGCTGTTATCAGTCAGTATCTGCTTTTATAGGACAAATCATGTTCACACCACACAAGGGAATAACACAGTTAAGCTTGTTGTGACTCACAAACATAAGTTTTATCTCAGTATCCTCACTTGTCTGTTTCGTTTCATATGGAATGTTAGAACAGGCATAGGACTGCACGCACCAAATATTTAAAGGTGTTATGATACCGTTGAGGGACATGTGATGAAATGTCCTTATTTATAATGGCTAGACCAGAGTAGTTATGTTAACAGGAAATATTTCTGTAAGCAGTACAAAGTAGTGGATCTTGGTTTCCAATGAGTAGTTCTTGTAAATCTGATTTACTGCTTAGTTGAATTACACCAAGTCTGCAGTGTGAGCTCTGCTCTTAGAGTATGCTGAAAATGCACGAGTGGGGAGTGGATTCTCTGATATCAGGCTATAAAAGAGGTCTTACTGCAGCCTTTTTATCAATGAAGGGACACTCTGTTCATGGACTTCCTCCCAAATTACTGTTCTGATTGCACATGGGGGAGTGTAATATTTTGAAGACAACTACTTTCTGTCAAAGTTGGCCAAAATTGACCAATGAAGTAAAAAAAAATGTACCTGCTGGAGATGCAGACATGATGTAGAAAATTTTATGCAATCAGATTAAAAGTAGGTCATTGTAGCTACTCCACTAACCAATTTAATTACAGCCATTAAACTTTGTTTCCTGTTTTATATGTGTCTCACTCCCCTTCAGGTAAATCTTTTCTTTTCCTGGACGTGGGCTATTTCCTTTCTACTTCTTTCTTTAATCTCCAGGATATCCTCCTCTGTAAAGAAGATTGTCACCCCCACACTAGTACTTATGCCAGCAAGAGAGGCAGGAACCACCTTCAGAGATCAGCAGGCACAGCCCAAGAGTGTGAGGAGGGACTGATGACATGTGTTGCCTCCTCTGTGCCACATCTTTAGTGTAGCTGCGCTGATGTCATGGCAGCTCTGCAGTTCTTGTGCAAGTTAATGCCATCAGCCTTAGTCCAGTGCTGTTATGTTGTTATGTAAGAGGTAACGATGCATCATCTGAAAAGCTTTTGACCCGCAGCGGGTCATTTGTGCCTGACGAATGTATCATGCTGTTTTCGCATAGCAGATATTTACAGGCGTACATAATAGGATAGGAAATGCTGGAGGAACAAGGTTGTGCTCCAAAGAATTCTGTGATCAGGAAGGATTAGATCAGGTGTTTACAGAAGTTCTTCCTATTTTGAAACATTGAGAAACCAGCTAAGGTACGTTACCAGCTTTCTTTGCCACTGGAAGTGGGAGCTCTGCACCTTTCTGAGGGATGGACTGTGTTTTTGAAGAACTCGTCTAGAAGGACCATGGAGGGGAGCTCTGCACCTTTCTCCCCATTTTGCAGAGGAGAAGGCAAGTAAAAAAGTTTCAGCACATTTGCCTTATGTAATAGCCCAGGTCAAAAGATCCCTTTCACCTCTGGGAAGAGAAGGGGTTAAATGCATGTCTCAGGGTTGGGAGCTGATGCAAGGAAGGGGGAGCTGTGAGACCTTGCTCCAGGTATTGAGAAAAGGGGTCACAGGGAGTAGACAGGGGAGCGGGCTGTGCAGCTACATCCCTCCAGCTGACTTGTGGTCTCTGTTCAGGATTTTCACATTCTGCCTAGGAGATCCCAGTGGGAATAAAGATGCATGTCTTGGGCACATTCAACACAAGAGAATCAACCCATTGGGAACACAGCCTTCCCCTGCGCTGTGCCACTGAGCTGTTGTGACTTCTGGGCAAACACACTCATTTAAGCAGTGCTAGTGGTGCTGGGGAAACTCTAAACTGCCTTAGTCCTCCTCCAGTGAATATCTGACTGGGCACCCTGCTGGGAATTAGCACTTGGCAAAGTCCCGTGCTGTGCCTGTCTGCTGTAGGATGTCCCATATCCTCCTCCCTCCTAGTTATTGCAAAATAAGGGCTCAATTCCCAATTACCTTATCTTCCAGGCTCTCTGTACATGCCTGCTGTTGGCCTGGTCATTGTTTTCCTGGCATGCCTCTTTGTGCCTCTGAAGTCTTGAATGGGAGCTTGCTCTGGCCTTTGGGAAGGACAGGCAAGATCCCCTTATTTGGTCCTTGCTCTTTTCCTTCTTTGTGTGAGGAAAAGCATTTGGTTTGGTCACACTTTTTAGCTTGCATTGCCCACATGGCACAATCTTCTCACTTAATCTTTTTGTAGCAGTTGCCAAACTGAACAGCTCTGACTGATGTTACTGTGTGTGCTTAGAAAAGGAAACATTGACTCAGTCGGATTGTTATTCTTGCTTTTCTTTGCTGGTACCCAAGCTCAGCAAGTTGCCCAGAAGTGTGGTAGTTCCTATGTTCACTCAGTAGAATCAAGGTAGGAGTCTTGGGTATGTAATATTGTTGATTTAGGGTAAAAAACTGTGTTTGACACCACAGAAGGTCATCTGGCCTTCTCTCCCCAAAGCTACCCAGTTGTGGTGGCCAAGGCCCTTCACCGGACAGCACATGGCCCATGTGACACTTGAGTCATAACATAACAACTGCCATCAAAATATGGAAGTGGAAACTAGCAGGTAACGAAAGACAAGTATTCAGAGAAACACACTGGTAAGCCTAGTTTCAGCCTTCTCTTTATACTTTATCGCGTTTCTGTCTCTGTGGCTTTGTTAAGGTTTGCTTTGCTTCAAATGGAAAAGAATAGGGGATCACATCAGGATCATTTCGTAACAATACCATGATACATAGGGAAGGATGGTCCATTTGATTAATTCAGACACCTACATCAGCCATGCCAATGTAGTTCTTTTGGGAGTGAAAGAAAGGAAAGAGAAAAGAGATGTAATAATTTGACCTAGTCACATTACATTTCAAAAATTTGTAAGATTTTAATTAAAACTTAATTTCATCGTGGTTAATCTTGAATTATAACAAAAACACTGAAGAGTAACAGCAAATTTTCTAAAGATTCAGTACTTTGGGTGTTGTGCTTGCTTAAAAATTTGGCTGTACCACTGCAGATGGAATTCTGAACAACCTTTGAACAGGATGCTTAGTAAGTTCCCTATGCGGTTTCTGTGTGGCCTTTTTTTTTCTGAATGATTGTTCCCAGATTAGTGTTTGAAAGTTTGGATCCCCAGGCATGGTTATTTTAGTAAAGCATTTTAGGCTTTTAATTAATTTTACTTACAGAAAGATTATCTATGAGTGCTAGGTATAACTCGTCGTTGTCCTAAGCAAGGGAGGTGGTGCAAGGTATGTTTATCCAGCCAGGGATGTTGTAACAGAGCTTAAAATAAAGTGGTGTCCTCTTACATGTGTTGGGAACAGTGGGTTCTGAGAACAGGATGAGAGGTGTTTCTCATGCTAAAACCAGTCTCCAGTACTACATCTTTTAGTAGCTCTTATGCATTAAAAGTACTTTACAGTGCCAGCGAATCAAGAATGCATCATTTTTTGATTCCTTGGTCCCTGCCTACTCTATGTCTTGAAAGTCTCCCTGAAATGGAAAAGTTGTCATATCTTTTTACTCTGCAACCTGTAGGGAAGATCTAGCAGAGGGCTTCGAAGAGGGAAAATCACATGTCATTGGAACCTCCATCAGGGTCACAAGATGGATTGCATGAAATGCCAGCCTGAGCTGGGCTGTACAACTGACTGTGTTGTATCTACAGTAAGAGAAAATCGCTCTCTGAGGTTTGCTCAGTAGTTTTGAAAGATATAACTGAAGAAATAACTGAAATGGAAAGTGAAATCTAGAAGGAAATAAAAAAGGAGATTCCTGGAAAAGAGTTGGCCTTGGAATTCATCACTAAACAGGATCTAAAATGCCAAAGCACCTCTCTGATGCTCATTTGAGCTGATAAAAACTTTCATTTAATTTTTGATTTTTACAGTTGCAGGTGTTACAGAGAAGAATAACCAACGTCAACCCAATGGTCATCAAGGATATGAACTCTGCTGTTTTTATCTAGATGGATGAAAAGGTTAACAGCCCAGAAGGGGAGTTCCTTTTGTTTTCGAGATGGCAGCAACTAGTGGTGAAAGCCAACTGCAGCGGATTATCAGAGACTTGCAAGGTACAGTGCCATGCTGGCAGAGGCATTCTGTGGGCTGGACTGCATCCTCTGTGTTTTAGATAACACAGAGTAGAAGTTGTGTTTTCAGTTGTTACTCTTTCGTGCAGCCATTATAGCAACATAATTCAAGGTGTGTGATGTGACTGACTTTTTTTGTGAAACAAGTGCTGTACCTTCTGCAGGACCCTAAATTCCTAAATCCTGCAAATTTAAACATACAAGATAAGAAATAAGAAATATTTTTCATGCAAGATAAGAAATAATTTTTAAATATAATTTTAAAAAAGGTGTCTGTGGAGTGTGCATTGTGAGCTAGGACTTTGAGATAAGAAGACCTGATTTTTAGACCCTTCCTTGATGGGAAGCTGGTGTGGAGTTGCTGCTAATGTGGGAAGGGAAAAAAACTAGGAGGCCAAACCAAACTAGGAAGGGAGATCCAGAGGAAGAGTGCTGGCGAATTGAACCTGCTGTTCTTGCTGCAGTGGAACCTAACTTATCTTCCACTAGAAGTAGCCAACCTAATTTTCAACAGTTCTGTTGCAGGCAGAATTGGCAGCAGATTCTTAACAGTTTGCCTGCTCTCTGTCCAAACCAGCTGCTTATACAAAGATCCGGATATTTTTCCTTTAAATTTTTATTAAATATAAAGTATATGTACCAAAACTGGGAACCTTGACCTTCCCACAATATAAAAAAATGAGATCTATGTACCTGCTAACAAGAAGACATTTTAATTTGCAAAGGCGATCGAGTCGGACTGGGAGCTGAGGCTCACTCAGTCACCTGAGTTAAGTACAAAACCCAAGTGGAAAGCAAATTCAAAGTCAGTAATTTCTGATGCTGAGAAGTACACCTATTGGGGGTTAGGGTGTTGTCCAGGAGGACAACAGAGTTTGTTTTGACTTGAGTTTTCCTCACCCACTACGGCTGTACATTTGAGGGAAGAGAAGTTGCTGTATGCTTTTTTTATGTAAATTATTTTCCCCGTTTGTGTTTGTAACCAGCACAAGCTGAACCTTCCTGAATAAAGCATGGAGAAGATAAATGTGCTGACCGAATGACTGTTCTCGTGTTACTGATCCCCTTTAGCAGATTACATGCTTTGTCCTTTCTAATCAGAATTCTGTTTGTTCTGTGGCAATACCTTAATGTGCACATGAAACAGCAAAAAGTTATTTCTCTTTCCTCTGCTGAGGTAGCAGTTAGCAATTGTCTGTTACCAGTTTTTACTATGTGTCAGAAGTGCTAAGTGTCCTTTTAAGAAGAAGAAATAGTCCACACAGCAGGTTGCCATAGCTTGAGCTCTAGTTTTCTTACAGGTGGTCTTAAATTGCAAGCATATCAGTAATTTTTTTACCCTGTCATTAAGACATTTCATCTAAAAGAAACTGAATACACATGCAAAATATCCATGAAGAAACCATTTATTTAGTTGTTTATGGATTCAGTGCTATATATCATTTGCATTAGTTAACTATTTTGGTGTCTTGTTTCACAGATGCTGTGACTGAGTTAAGTAAAGAATTTAAAGAAGGAGGGGAACCGATCACAGATGACAGTGGCAACTTGCAAAAATTCTCCTACAAGCTTGAGTACCTTCTGCAGGTAGAAAATGATGTGTGTCATTTGTAATCCACCAGCAAAGCTCAGCCTTGTTTTCTCTTACTGCCTGTTCAATATGTGGGGTTTAACTCAAGTAATCATAAATGTCCAACTGAGTCTCTTTTTATTTTTTTGTGTGTGTGTCTGGTAAGTGGACTGAAATGCATGCTGCTTATTGTACTTATTTCAAATGAAAATAAATGTAATCAAAAGGAAGAACTGGCAGTTTGATTGAAGAATGTAAGGCATTTCTTCATGGACCTGAAAGATCTGAGCTTGATTTTAGAGATATATCCTGCTAAGTTATCCTGGAAAAACTGTGGTAATGAGTTCTTGACAACATTTTTATGCAAAATAAATACTAGTGAGCTGTTCATGGTGCAAATATAGTAGTGTGAGTAATTTACAGAATTTTTGGCAATTTCACTTCAGAAATTCTTTTTTATTGTATGGAAGTCTTAATGCAAAATGCTGATTTTTAATCTGGAGTGCTATTTTTTTTCCCCATCCTCAAAATCTGAGTAAAAGAGAACATTGCTGGGCAAACTGAAATTCAGTTTGCATAGTGTCTTGTCCACATATACTGTAATCGTGTCACTGATTGCAACAAAGACATGCTAATCTAGCTTTAATCTAGGCAAGGGAGTTTTAATTGGGTTGCAGAGACTTCAGCAGAAGCTGAAGAATCCTTTGGGATTTGAGTGGCCCAAGCTGCAACTGGTTGTTAGTTCGTTGCTCTTGAACAGCTGCCGAATCTGTTGTAAATCTTTGTTTTGGCAGTTTTGAAAGGATGGCTGTATTTTAAAGAGACTCAAAACATTTTTATCTGTTACTGTCTGTAAAGTAGCTTTTGTAACTGCTGGATTGCATCAGTACAATGCAATGTCTCCTTCCTTTGTGAATACACTGGCTAAAGCTAAGAGGAGTCATGAAAGCTCATATTACTGGGAGAGGAACAGAATTCCAAGTAGCTATATATAAATATATTTATAGTTAAGTTTTGCTCATTGCATTTTGTTTTCCTCCTTTAAGTTTGACCAGAAAGAAAAAAGCACATTGCTGGGCAACAGAAAAGACTACTGGGATTATTTCTGTGACTGTCTGGCAAAAATCAAAGGAGCTAATGATGGAATCCGCTTTGTCAAGTCTATTACAGAAGTAAGTATATCAGCTAAGTATTGTAATATGTGGTTTATGCTTTGGTAGGTCTTTATTTAGAGAGCATTAGAAACAAACCAATAAACTCCACTGCTTTTAACATATAGCAAAAAAAATAAGGGATTTTTATTTGTTAATTCTCATGTAAAGTATAAAAATACAAGGTTACCTTTTTTACTAGAGCATTAAATTATGTAGGATTAGATAGCTTGACTCCTGTTTTGAAGGCCACTTAAAACAAGTGAATGGACCTGTTTGGTTGTGCCCTGCCTTTTCATAAACTTAGTACCATTTTCTCTAAAAAGAAGTGAAAAATTAAGTCAAGGGCAGAACCTGCCATCTTTAGCACAGCTTACAGCAGGACTTGGCTCTAAGATGAAAGGTTCACGGTATTTGACATTTCTTAAGACCTTTTCAACTGGTCTGTAGAGTTGAGGAGGACTGACTGAGAGCAGCAATTTCATCTTCTGTCTCAGCTTTGTTCCTCTGTGTGAAATAGCATGATGAAATGACTTGGAATGGTTGTCTTTATTACCTGGGTTAAGCTCTTATGAACAGCACAAAAAGCCTTGTTTCTGTTATATACAGTAATAAAAGCTTAATCTTGTAAAAGCCATGTTATGTCTTCAGCTCAATAAGTGGGTGGAATAAATACTGTGAGAAGCTTTCTGTGTTGATCCTGTCTGAGTCCTTAGAACCGTTTGAAGATTTTCCTTGTGGGTAGAAGAGGCGGTGGTGTGGTGGTGCCAGCCAGCATTGTCGTGATGCTCGGTGCCATTATCTGGGAGCAGGGCTAACTTGTATTGGCAAGTTACTATTTACAGCACATTTCCCTATTAGCAACTCTTCCACAGCAGCTCTAGATAATGTTGTTTTGATCCATCTGGAAAAGAACCATGATACTGTAGCAGAGGCAGGCCCTGAGTTCTCTACCTTGCTTTCTTCTCCCAGCAACTTCAACAGTATTAAATTTTGCTGTTCCAAGGTGAACAATCCAAGGAAGGGCTCCAGTTTGTTTTACCACTAGGAAGGAAAAGAGGGGAGAGACATGGAAATTTGATTTGAATTTCCCATTACTTCCAGGAAGACTGGCAAAGTAAGGACAGTAACTGCTGCAGCAGGAAAGATCCTCTGACTATAGATAGTGACCCCTAAGTTCTCAGTAGCAGTAGCCAATCTGATTTCTCTGCAAAGGTGATTGTGCTGCAGTCTTTAACAGTCTGTTGCCTGTGGTATCACCTGCATATGACCACACGTAAAGACTTTGCTTTTTCCTCCTTCAGTACCTCCGGCTGCTTGATTGTTAACACAGTATCAGAAGTTATTGTTTGGAAGTAGGATAGTTTCTATTTCAAATTATGTGCAACTATAGAATTTAGCTTGTGGAAAACTTCTTTTAACTTTATTAACTTGTGCTTTAGGAATATGAACACTTAAAAAAGAATCAATCAGCCATTTCAGATAACTGAGCTGGCAGACTTGGGTCCATGACACAAAAATATGTTTGTTATTTCCCTTAATTACAGGTAGAAATCATCAGCCAATCTTTGAACCTGGCTGGATAGAACACAAAGGTTTCCAAATGTCATTTATTTGCTCATGGAACAAGACTTTGACTTTCAAAGGTGGAAGTGAACAGAAAGGAAAAAGCAATGGCAGTTAATTTTAAGAATGATCAAACATTTAACAGCGTAATGCCTCCCCTTCTGCTCTACCTTTAGTACTTCTAATATTAGGGTGCATGATAGGCTAGAGAGGTGGAGCAAGGAGGCAAATGGAATACCCTGGAAACTGTTATCTTTAATTAAAGAGGGCTTTATTCTTTATGGCAGTAGGTGAGCAGGGAGTTCTGATCATTCTCCTTTTCCTTTCGAAAATGATTACACTGAATACACATCTTTCCAAATCTTGACAGCCATACATTGCACCTTAGCTACAGTGTTTGCTGTCTAAATGGAAACACTTCCAAAGCCAGATGCTGCCTGCCTCCCTGATTGCTTGTAGGGCTCTAGCGGGCAGTGGCATGGTTTTGCTTCCTAGTCAAATAGTCTTTGGCTATTTGCAGCTGCATATACATTTTCCTCTAGTCCTTATCATGTACATTTGTTCTGGTATCTCCATGCTTAAAAAAGGCATTGCAATTTAAATTGATAAACCAATGGGAGTAAGGATAGGATTAATTCTGTGGCTTCCAGTGGGGTTTTTTTTGGACAGTTCTTAACGTATTCACTAAATGTGCCTAGTTAGGAAAAACTCTTGTAAGCTTCTGTGCACAGGGTGGGCATAGCATCTCCCTGAAGAAATCTTCAGACATCTCCAGGGTGAATGAAGGTGAAAACCTGTTGGTAAATTAAATTTGCTGTTTCTGGGGTATTTAGTGTTTGGGGACCATGTTTTTTGTATTTTGTGTCCTATAGAATTCAAAACAAAAAGCAGTAAAAACTGTTGCTTTCTTTGCTCCACATTTCATTTATGTTCCTTTTATAAAGAACATTTTTGTATGTAATGGGTTACTGAGCTAAATGAGGAACCTGTGTCTTACTTCAGAGCATAAGCCCAGTAACAGCAAAAACATGGAAGTTGAGAGTTTTAGGTATTGCTGTTACTTCACCACAGTGGAATATTGATCAGCAGGAGAGAAAGCTTGTGTGGCCTTTGAGCCTTCTTTTACACTAACTTTTCAAGCAAAGTTTACAGTAACCTACCAACTTGTGCCTCAACCCATCTAATATTTGTCTTGTCTTCTATTTTAGATAAAGAATTTATTTGCTTTGTTAGTTGGATGAGCAGTTTGGTGAGAAATTCTTTCATCACGTTCCATTTCCTTTCCTAAATTGATTACTGATTTTGATGGAAAGAAAAAGTGAAACACTATTATTCAGAGTTTCACTATTTTGCAGGACAGAAAATGGTTCAGATGTAAAAGACAAAACAAAATATCAATCCCCGAAGTCAATAGCTATAACAAAATTCAGTGCTGAGTTTTGTGATTCTGCTTATGTTGACTTAACAGCTGTCTTCCTAAAGAGATCCATCAGTTTCAGTCATGCAGCTGCTCTTGGTCTGAAGTAAGAATTAAGAATGCTTAATGGCTAAGTATTAAGAAAGGCTTTTTGCATCATCTGGGGTTACTGTGTCCATGGGGATGTATATTTGTATATGTATACATTTTTGTTCTGTGACTAGACCTTTCCTAAAGCTCTTCCAGCTGTGGCCATAAACATCTTAAGCATCATTCAGCAGTCACTTCTGGCTTTGCTGGGCATGTTGAGGTTTTGGCTTATATTGGGAATTGTCCTTAGCATAGTCTGTACTCAGGTACTCCGTATATTCTATGATTCATTGGTCCTGTGATGCCTTTTTTAGTATTATAAAGTGGACAACAGCCAGCTGTAGAAAGAAATTTATCCTTCAAAAAAGATTCCACCCAATGACAGACTTGGGAGAAGGTGTCTCTCAGTGGCAGTTCTTCCTGCTTTCCTTGACAACTTTTTCCTTTACAGTGGCTTACTGTGAGGTTTTTTTTATGGTGCTGTGTAGACTGTTCTGGCCATGTTTCTACATGATTACAAATGGTATTTAGAATTTTCTTTTCTTGTGGTTTCTCCCTTCCAGCTAAGAACATCTCTTGGAAAAGGAAGAGCATTTCTTCGTTACTCCCTGGTTCACCAAAGACTAGCAGACACCTTGCAGCAATGTTTTATGAACACCAAGGTGACCAGGTGAATAGCAAAGTACCTTGTTAACTAATGGGTGTTTGCTCAGTGTGATCTAGCAACATCACCTAGTAGCTATTGAAAGAAGTTGAATCCCTTCCAAATGGGTGGCTTAGAGAGCTGGTAATAGGATATGAAGGATAATAGACCTTCTGGCCTAGGTCACTGGTTCATATCTATCTTGGGCTTGTAAAGATTGAAAGTTATTACAGGTAAATGTGTGTGGAATGGGTGGTACTGGTGCTTCCGTGTGTCGATCTCAAAGGTCATGTTTTCATAAGTATGGAAGATCCTGTGTTTGACCAGCTGCACATCATGAGGGAGGATTAATTTGGATATGTTGCACAAAGCCCTAGAAAGCATTTCCATATGCCTCTGGATTGTCATACAGAGGAACAACTTGCCCCTGGCCAGGGAACACCAAAGGTAGCTTGTAGTTGTTTGGAGGGACACCGCTAGGGCATTTAGAATAAGCCAACTATTTTCACAGTGTATTTAGCTCTGGATTCTGCTTTCTGTCCCTCATTTTTGATGTACTAAGTGAGTGCTTTAGGTATTTACTGTGTGATTTTCCCATGTATAGCAAATATATTGTATTGTCAGTGATTTGCCCAAGCACTAGAGGAAAAAGTCTTCTGTGCAGGGGCTCCTCTGAAGATATTTATGTGGAATTAATTAAAGTTGTTTAATTTTTTTTACATCAAAGGGATGGGATGTAGTTTGGTGGGTCTAGTTGCTTTCAGTTTGTGTTTAGAATAGTGTATCCTAATTTTTCTGGGGTGGAGTAAATAATGATGTTGTTGAGGTTTTTTGCAAGAGAAACTGCTTCTTCTCTTTTGCTTATGAATAAGTATTAATTGTTTTTTGTTTGTTTGTTTTCAAGTGACTGGTACTATGCAAGAAGTCCATTTCTGAATTCCAAAATGAGTTCTGACATTGTGGGTCAGCTCTATGAGCTCACTGATGTTCAGTTTGACTTGGCATCAAGAGGCTATGATTTAGATGCTGCTTGGCCAGCATTTGCCAGGTAAGATAGAACCACTTTGTCATTTTGTATTAACAGGGCCATAAACCACTTGCCTGTTAAAGACCCTGTAAAAGTTTATGCTTTTGAAGGTAGGAATACTTGTGTTAGAGCAGGTATATACTTTCCATTCTATGAACAAATTGGCCTGTTTTTCCTTCTAGTATACTATGTCCCAGCAATCACAGCTGATGCTCCGTAATACAGTACTTTCAGTAACAGCAGTTTAGGCCCAAATCCCAAGCTATTCTCATCTATACAGGCACAAGAAGAAATGTTCTTGGCTTCTGTTTTAAGAACTGAGACATACAGTGGGTGGACAGGCTAGCAGTGTGCTTCACTTGCAGCAATGGTGATCCCAGTAGACTTGGGGAATAACAAAAACTACTAGGTCTAGTCCAGATCCATTTGTATCAATGAGAATTTTCTAGGGCCACTTGCTGCCACCACCTGGTTGAGCTGCTGCCACACAGCAATACAATTCCCTAGAGTAAGACTGCACTGGTTCTTGTGGATGTGGGAAGTCATAGCTACCAGCCCCATAATCTTTTATAGGTGCCTTCGATATCCCTATTTTATTTTTCATCAACTTCAGTGGTTGTTGGCCAAGGCAGCAGGTGCAGTTATGTCTTTTTGCATGTGGTAGATACCAGTAGATAAATCTTACATGTACGAGTGGAAAGACATGTATATATGTGCTCAGAGTTATAAATTGTTTCTCTGTGTGATCAACAGAAGGACACTGTCCTCGCTTGGATCTTCAGCATATTTATGGAAGCCTCCAAGTCGCAGTTCCAGCATGAGCAGTTTAGTGAGCAACTATTTGCAGGTGAGCAGATTGCAAATAAGTATTTATGTGGCGTGGTAGATCTTTAGTTGGCATAGTTCCAGAGAACTTGGTGGTTTTATCATGGTTGTGACTCTTATAATGCTAAACTACAAAAAAGGGTTCTTAATTAAAAGTAAAGAGAATTGTCTGGTAGCTGAATCAACTGAATGTGCAAATATTGTAAAGGAAAAAAAATATATTCAGAAGACTACCTGCAGATAGGTATGCTTTCATCTATCTTTTGGGAAAACAAGTCCCATTTCCTGTAAGTAGATATCTTGCAGTGCTGTGAACACAACGTAGAATGTCACTGTGTGTTAAGAATCTGAACTTGCATTTATGTACATGTTTAATACTACTTAAACGTTCTGGTTTTCCCCCTCTGTTCATTTAGGCCCAAGAGTTTCCCTCCAGCCCTGATGTAAATAGCTCACTGAATGCTGAACACCTTGAGGGCTATGAAGAGATGCGTTTAGAACTTGACCAGGCTGAGCTGAGGCAGAGGGAACTTCAAGATCGTATTCACCAGCTAGAAATGGAAAACCAGGAGCTCCAGGCAGCTGTCAGCCTTCAAAAAGAGCAAGTACAGGTAGAAAAGGAGAAGAGCAATAACTACAGTGAGGAGAACTCCCGGCTGACAAAGATGATCACAGAGTTACAGAAGCAGTGTGAGGTCTCACACTCCACTCAGAGCACTGTCCATGACCTGCAGAAGTGCCTACAGTCATTGGAATTAAATGCAGTGGAGCAGCAGAAAGAATATTCAACAAAAGTGGAGCAGCTGTTGACCAGCAAGGAAGACTGTGCCTCAAAATTGCAGGTTTCAAGTCAGGAGCTGGAGACCTCGAGGGCTTTGATTGCTGTGAATAATCTTTGCATCGATGAGCTCAAAGCCAAGCTGAGTTCTGCAGAACAGAAGAATCTCAGCCTCCTTGCGAAAGTTGATGCTGCCTTGGACGAAAAGGGGCAGCAAGCCACAGCCCAGTGTGACTCTGCCCTACAAATACATGCACTGTTAGAGAAGCTTCAGGAGATGGAAAAGGAAAAGGCAGATATGCAAAGACTCAATGATGAACGTGCGTCTCAGCTGAAAGCAGCAAAGGAGGAGCTGCGGCTGAAAGAACAGGCACAGAAGGAACTGGAATCCAGATACAATCGCCTCACTGCTGACTCCAGAGAAGAAAGTGAAAAGCTGATTGGGAGCCTGGAAACTATGACAAAGGAAAAGGATGCACTTCAGGAGGCCCTGACTCTGAAAGGAAAGGAGATGGCTGAGCTCCAGACCCAGGTAATGGGGTCGCTGGCTCAGGTGGGGTCACTGGAAAAAAGTCTTGAGGAAGCCAGGAAAGAAAAAGAGAAACTTGAGGAGGAATATGGTAGGAGGGAAGGAGCACTGAAGCAGGAATCCCAGTCACAAGCAGAGCAACTTGCACTACAGGAGGGTCACTTAACAAAGGTGAGTCAGACTGTGTGTAGCCTTGAGGAGCAAAACCGCAAACTCATGTCTGAGAAAGAGCATCTTGGGCAGAAAGTCAAGGAGCTGGAGGAGCAGATGGAGCAGCAAAACTCTGCAGTGACCGAATTGGATGAGGAGAGCAGGAAGCTGAAAGCAGAGAATATGAATTTGCAGCAGTCCAAGAACAAGATGGAAGCGAAGCTGAAAAATCTGGAAGCTTCTAAAGCTTCCCTGGAAGCTGAGGTAGCCAGGCTGAGAGCCTCTGAGAAGCAACTTCAGAGTGAGATAGATGATGCCCTGGTGTCAGTTGATGAAAAAGAAAGAAAGCTCCGGGGCGAGAACAAACAGCTGGATGAAGACTTGCAGAATGCCAGGAGGCAAAGCCAAATTCTGGAGGAGAGGTTGGAGGCTCTGCACTCAGAATATGAAGAACTAAGGCAAAGAGAGGAGACCACCAAGGAATCTTATGCCTCACTTGAAGGACAGCTAAAGAGTGCCAAACAGCATAGTTTAGAAATGGAAAAAAGCTTGGGCACCTTGAAGGAAAGCAAAGAGTGTCTCCAGTCACAGGTCACAGAGAAGGAAGTAGAACTGCAAGGCTTGGAGAACCAGTGTGAGCAGCTGAGAGCAGAAGCTGAAAGACACAGAAAGAAAGCAGAGACTCTTGAGGCAGAAAAGCTCAGTGTTGAAAAGACATGCCTTCATCAGACAAAGCTTATAGAATCCCTCACATCAGAAAAAGAATCAGTGGAAAAACAGCAACTACAGCAGGCAGCTTCCCTGGAGAAGGAGGCAAAAGAGCTGGCCTTCAGACTGACCATGAGCGAAGAGCAGTTGGAGGTCAACCGAGGTGAAGTGTCAAGGCTGCAAGCAGAAGTCCTAGACCTGCGAGTCAAGCTTCAGCAGACCATTGATGAGAGAGAGAGGATGAGAGGTGAGCTGGCAGTCGCTGTGACTGCCTTGAGTGAGCAGAAGGAGCTTGTTCAGCAGCTGAAAGAGCACAGTGAGTGTCTCAACAGAAACCATGTGCAAGAACTGCTACAATGTAAAGAAAGGGAAGAAGTGCTGAAAAAAGAGCAGGAGACAACAGCCCATCAAAAAGCTGAGCTGGAAAATAATTTGCTGAACTTGAAGGAAGAGTTATCCAAGGTTAAGCAGTACTTGGAAAATGCTAGAATGGAAAACGAAGAAAACAAAGATCTCCTCCACAGGACCAACACAGATATGGCTGAACTTGGTATTCAGATTTGTGGCTTGTCCTCTGAAAAGATGGATGCAGAAGAGCAGTTAGCCCAGGCCAGAGAAAGGCTCAAAGAACTGGAAGAACAGGCGGCAGAGCAACAGAAGAAGCTGAAGCTTGACATCTCTAATCTCAAAGAAGAGAACAAGAGCTTGCAAGAGAAATTAGAGGAGGCTCAAATATGTGCCGCAGCTGTCCCAAATCTGCAATTGCAGCTGGAGACAGTAAAGAAACAGGCACAGAGTTTCCAAGAGACCAGCCAAGAAGAGCTGTCTGCAATAAAATTTCAAATGAGCACAGAGATTCTAAATTATCAGACAAAATTCAAGGTAAATTAATGTAATTATTATAGCTGAGGGAGCTGCTTTACCATCTGCTGCAACAATTACTGCATGAAATCCTAAGTTTTGTGTAGGTCAGGCTCTGAGACTAGCATGCAACTAACCTTAGCCTGCGAATCTGAAAATGTCTCTACACTCATGATCTAGGCCTATCTGAGATAAAATCACTCTTCAGAGTGTTATGGACCTGTACAGTGTGGCCGTCCAAGCCCAGTGGAGAAGCCATCCACTCCTTGAGAGGGTGATGATTTCTTATGCTGGCACCGAAGGTGGCATCTGCTGTAACTATTCCCTCTGGTTACAGCTGTGGTTGTTCTCTTTTTTGGTAGGAACATTGCAAGACCTGTTCCCCACACCTCTAACACTGCTTCTCCTTAGAACTGACTCTGATGAAAGCAGACTTAAACTGAAACCATATGCTTTTGCAGCTAATTCTCTAATGTGTTTTTACTTTCAGCTGCTCAAGGTAGCAGCTGAGAAGATCGAAGTTTGGCTTCCAGAAAAACCTGAATCAGCCCTGTATATGTGAAACAGCACACCTAAAGGCTGAAGATTTTATTGTGGTTTTTTTGCCATTCTGAGAAAACGTCTAAGACTGGTGGTTGATCAGAGGCTTATGCCATTGCATGAGTTTGACCTTCTTTTTGTTCAGAATTGTAACAACCTATGGAAAGTAGCAGTAAAACACAGCTAGTGCCACCACAGAGGGAGTTTTCTTGATTCCAGATGTTGAGTGTCTTTTTAGCTGTCTTTCATAAGCCTGACAGTGGTGCTGCATTTATCACACGCATGGCACTAAGAGCACTCATGATTCACGGCTGGGAATTTTGTAAATGAAGGGGTGGCCGCTAGAAGGTTTCTAACTCCTGCCTCAATCTCTCTGCTAGGCAGTCAGTGAGGAGTGTGGGAAAGTGAGAGAGCAACTTGAGGAGCAGAAGCGACAACAGCATGCTGCGGAGGAAGAGATTACCGAGTTACAAGTAGGTGCTTGATCTGATTTAAAACCAGAGGCGTTTGTGTCAGCAGGCATTAGTGTTATAGCTGAGAAGGCAAGCAGCATTTCTGATGACTGGCTGTGAGTCTGAGAATGCCCTTGAATAAATACACCATGCTGCAGACAAAATACTCAGCAGCTGACAGCCACCAAAGCAGAGATTATGAAAGGCACAGCTTCACTTAGGATTTGTTCTCTTTCGAAAGCTAGCCAGGTTTTCTGTAAGACCTGGCTATGTGTTCTCTTCTTGAATGGGAGTGCAGGTTCAAAATGTGTCTTTCTTAGGCCCTGCATACCACTGTACACAGTTACATGTATGGATCCTTCTGTTTTCAGGCTTCAAAGGGCACTGAATCAGAGAGTTAATCTGTCTGAGAAATAACCCAGCCAGAAAAAAAATAGAATTTTTGCAATAAATTTATTGAACAGTTGAGTTAGGAGGGTCATACTGAGTTGTAAGGAATCCAGAAACAAGGAAGTTAAGGTTACTGAATGTGGCCCTGCCTGTTAACAGAAATACACACACCTTTAGATGCAGTTGGATATGTTCCCTGAGGACTCCAAATTTGGCATACCTGGCATACTCTGGAGAGGCTAGCTGTGAAAGGAGTTGGTTTTGTTGTCCATTGTTCTTCATATTCCATATGGCTTTAATAAACAACATTTTTCTCCTACTTAATTTTTTACTTTTGAATTTTTTAGGTGGTGAAAAAGCTTTCAGAGTGTATTCTTTTGCCATTATCTTTGAGAGATTTTCCTTGATAAAGAGGCAAAAGCTCAACTGACATGAACTAACAAGAATTACAGGCTTAATGCTCTCTTAGTTTAGAGTTTATCCCTTATTCAGTGTGACAGAAGTAATCAGTCACTAGTACACAACTAATTACTGCCTGCTTATACAATAATATCTTAATTGGTTGTGTGGCTGTAACTGATTCTTCTGAAACATTGTTAGCTGTCCTGGTAATTGTCCTATGCATGGTAAAGAGTTATTTTTATGTGTAAGGAAATACGGTCATTTATTTTACTAGGCTGCAAACACGAGTTTGTCCAGAAAGCTGGATGAAGCAAGAGAGCAGCTGTCTGAATCAGAATCTGCTCGGCTGCAGAGGGAAGAGGAGGTGACATCTCTTAGAGAACTCTTGGAAAGGTGAGAGTTTAGGTTCTTACACGAGCCATTAATTGTAAGCTCAGCAAGGGAACAATAACCAAAATGTAACGAAAATCGCTGGGGTTTATGAAGTACCGTGTGCCACAGGGTTTATATAGGGCAAATAGTGCATGGGCACTGATGAGGAATATCAGATTGACACTTCAGATAAGAAATAGATAAATTACACACCACACATGAATGAGCAGTTTAGATTTTACTGTATTGTTAGCTGAGGACATAAATTCATTGTATGTCTTCCTTCATGAAACTTAAAGATGTTCTTATAACCTTCTTTTACCTTATAGGTTAAGCACAAAATTAAAACAATATTGGGAGGGGTTGTAAGGAATGGAAAATTTAAGGTTTTGGGCTGTTTGTTTTTTCTCTCCTCTCCATGATCTTCAGGGAATCAGCAAGAATTATTTGAATGGGACCACATGCTGCTTGTCTTTGCCAGGTTTCTTATCAGCTTTAATTATCTAACTCAGGCTGTGTTTTCAAGGTCTGTAATGTGGACCTGTGTGGTGTGGATAATGTGGAAATCAGAAATAGAACTCTGAGGCGTGGACTCACACAGAGTCTAATGGGTTAACCAAAGCCTATGTATTTTTATGTTTTTTGCTGATATCATCTTTTTTATTCCCAGTGTGGTAGCCATCATAAGCTTTACTATAAGCAGACCATCCAAGAAATTGCTGGTTGCTGACTGTGTTCACTAGATGGTGGACTATGTGCATTTTCAGTGATGCAGAAAAGTGGAGAGATTCTGTCTAGCTCTAAAAAATTTGCAAAATTGAGAACAATTTCACTGAAACTAACCATTTATCAGGGTGGAGTAGCCCATTCTTCCATGGGGAAGACTTAAATGCACATGAGCTAAAAATGATTCTTAATTGCCTTTATATTTGATCAGGATCCAAAAAGAAGCTGATGAAGCAAAAGAGAAGATCCTGGATTACACTGAGAAGCTCAGCAAGGTGGCAGCAGACAAAGATAGCAGTGACCAGAAATTATTTGCTGAACTGGATGACCTGACAAGAACAAAACACTTCCTTGAAGAGCGTTTGATAGAACTTATCAGGTTGGCATCAAAACAAACAGCAAGCAGAAATTAAAATCCTAGCTTAGGATGTTGAGGGATACTGCCTAGGTGGTCCAGTCTTGTATTCCTGAATTAAAGATACAAGTAATAGCCAAATTCATCAGCAGCTGAAATTTTGCATTTCCACAGTACAGTAAAAAAATGTAACACCGAATGTTATCTCCTTAATTTGCTGTCTGTTTTGCAAAAATATGTAGTTCTCCACATGGCATGTGTTCTTCTCCTTGTCTTCCCAGAAGCTTCAGGAGGTTTTTTTATCTATCTTTATTTCTGAAAGCTCCTCAGAAATTTAGAGCAAAGGAATTTTTACTGTGAAGCTTTCACCAGCATTCCTCTTGAGGTTAGTTAACAGGAAACCAGCACTGATAACTTCTGTGTGTTTTTCTTTCCTTTAACTGTGTCTCTGCAGAGATAAGGATGCTTTGTGGCAAAAGTCCGATGCTCTGGAGTTCCAGCAGAAGCTTAGTGCAGAGCAGAGGTGGCAGGGGGACACAGAAGTTAATCACTGTCTGGACTGCCAGAGAGTGTTCTCATGGATGGTGCGCAGACACCACTGCAGGTCAGTTTGTTGAACTGTATTGCACTGTTCAAAAGCAAAATTCAGTATGATCATCTACATGGATGAAAGATTTCTTAATGTTTGCAGTTCAGTGATCAAAATCATTGATATATGACATTATAGAGGCTGAAAGAACACACGAGCTTGGAAGGGGGTAAAAGACATTAATGGAAAGGTCCCTTGACATGTATTAAGGCAAAGATCTGGATGCAACTCTGACCTGGGGAGTCTGTTAGTATCTCATTTCTGGAAACAAAGATAATCACACCCTACCTGGTGTGTTTCTTTGAAGGACTGTGCACTTCCCTCTTCATGCTCTAAACAATATTCACTAAGATGGTTTTGGTATTGTGATGTAAGTATTCCAGAACAAATTCCAACCTGCTGTGCAAATGTAAATTTTTTTACTTACACTAGATATGTTGAGAGATAATTACCAATTGCAGAGTAATCTTTTTTTTTTAAAGTTGATATTAAATTATTTCCCCTACAGTTATTATTATTTATCCGATCTAGATTTATTAAAATATTTTTAAGTGGATACATTTCAGGGTCCCAGTGATATATTTGGTTTGGCTCTTCACTGTTCCTTATTCTCATGACCTGATTTGTCATGTAAGGAAAGAAATACTGGGACTGTTTCAACTGCATATAAATGTAAACAGCTTTCCATGGGGATTAGTGAATAATGAAGTCATTTTAGGTAAAAACTTCCAAATTACTCATTTCTACTAAAGTCTGTGAAAGGTATTCGTGTTGATGATTTAAATGGTTATGAAAAACAAAACCATTAAAACTTCATGAGTAGCAGTCATCCCTGCTGGGTGCTTTTCTTCATCAAAAATCTTTAAATGCTCATTAAAAAAATAGTTGACAGTTTAATACTGAGAGACTTCAGAGTGAAGAGGGCAGGAGGCATGAATGTACATGTATGAGTCCAATACTGGTTTTTCTTTCTTGTCTGAAGGGGAGAGGGGTCATTATGAAGCAGAGGCATATAGATGTGTTCTAACAGTCCTTACAATCAAGTAGAGTTTTGCTGTACCTTAGTATGAAATGTGGCCTGTACAATATTATTAAGCACATTTCCTTTCTATGTACTTAGTATAAATATTATTTATTTGCATTGCATATTTGTGTGTATTTGGTTGTTTTATGTCTTTATATTTAAATGTAATTTTATTTCTTTTTTAGTACTTTTAGTTTTTTCAGTTTTCTCTGTTTATTAAGGTAGCAAAATGCGAATGTGAATTTCTGCCCTGTGCTTGTCAAGAAGACTTATTTCACTTCAGAAAGGAGCACAGTCTGTATAATGAGTTCTGCCACGGACGTAGTTTTCGCTCTTTTGCAGAAAACAAGACTGTTATGACAAAGCCCCAAACTCTGTCACGTAGATATGTTCCAGCTGTATGTGGTGCTTTTCTAACATCTTTGGTTTTGAATCATTTCTAGAATGTGTGGTCGCATTTTCTGCTACTACTGCTGCAACAACTACATGGTGACAAAACCTGGTGGAAAAAAGGAGCGTTGCTGCAGAGCTTGCTTTAATAAGCCTAGAGTCATCGTGGACAGTACAGATGACTCTGGATCCAGTGCCAACCAGGAAGGATCACCAGCTTCATTGGAATCGCCTGTGTCACCATCTGAGAGGAGTTTTGGTTAGTTTATTGTTTGCATGCTGTTGAGAAATAAGTAGGGTTCTTTGACAGTCTCCAAGAAACCACATGGTCACTTCCTGCTCCAAGGACCTGCAGTAGGTCATGGAGTGTTTTCAGGGTGTGACTGATCCCATCTTTGAATTTGATTGGTATTGACAGAAACATGTATGTATATTAAATGAGTGTCAGTCAGCCCAAGGTTTTATATTAGTTCTGGTAGTTACTTAATGCTTCTGTAAAGGTAAAGGAATGGCCCAGTCTTCTCCCTTAAGGGCTTTGCTTGTATGTCCTTTTATTTTCCAGACAACCAGCTAATATTGTTTATGTTTATTTTCATGTCCTTTTATGGCACAGTTGCAAGTGAAGCCTCTAAACCACCAGATGATGCAGCATTTGATATAATCACTGATGAGGAGCTGTGCCAAGTACAGGAAACAGACTCTCTCCACAATGAAAGTCAGATGGAAAGAGTGTCTTTGGATCAAAGCATGACAGATTTGTGAGTAAACACCGGTTCATGGAGAGGAGAATCTTTTGGGTTTGCTTTAGAATGTTCTTTTTTTTTCCCACTGAGAACCTCTACATAAAGAGAAGACACCACTGTTCCGAGGCCACATGTTCATTAGACCAACACTACATAATTTTGACCTATTTGAATAGTCAGCATCAAATCTAGTAAATATAAACAGCTCCATCCTCTCCCTCCACCTGTTTCTCCACAGCTCAGGGGAGTAGTCCCAGCTCTGTGCTGTCATCAGGCCAGCTGTCACCTTTAAAGCAGCATTCAGGCCACACTGGATCACTGGTCATGCACACAACTTGTAATAAGAGCTAAGTGATACTGTCAGACTCACCACTGCGTAGTATCAACAGAACAAGGAGGTGGGGAAAAGTTAAGGAAAGATGTGCTCTTTTTATGACAGGCTTCATTGAACTAAATGTGAAAGAACCTGTCTGTGTCCATAGGATTCCTTTTTACCTTAAGATGACAGCTCACAGAAAAGAAAAAGAACAATTGCGTAGCTAAATCTGGCACAAGTTTGTTATTTCTTTCTTAAGAAAGGGAGAGTGAATGTGGATTTCAGTAAGTTTTTTTACATCTATTTCTACACTGAATTAGCAATGAAGAGGATCTCATCTGAATATCTAAATACTTGGTTTGCAAATTATGTTGTAGTATTATAGTGTAATATATATCGAGGTTTATACAAAATGTTGATTTACTATTGTTCAAATATTTCAAGTATTTTACAAAACTTCTGTAAAATATATTATCTTTTGAGAAGAAAAAAGAAAGACAAATTTCATCTAAATGAAATTGCTTCTGAGCAGAAAAATAAACTTGATAAATCTAAATGCTAAGCTGAAAATAGCCACAGAGTAACCAGTCTGTTGCTGAGAAAGCAGTTCTAGACTCTTTTGCCTTCAGGAGACACATTTCTGATATAAACCACAGTGACTTGCAGTTTGTTTATTTGGTAAAAAAAACTTTTCAAAATTCTATGTTTTTGTTTCTTGGTAAATAACTTGTCTGTATTCTGCCTGTTTTGTATACTGTTGACACTGACAGTATATTTCTGCTTGTGATGTGCTGAGCATACATGAATGAACTGAGCTCCACAATGCTCTTATGAATTGTTTTGCAAAGGGGCAGTTTGTGGTGGTGGGTTTTTGTATGTTTGTTTGTTTTATAAAGGAAAAAGTGTAATGTACTACTAATTTGAATTTGTGCTGTCTGCAGAGGGTGTATCACAGGTGAGTTAGCTCTGGAGAAAACAACCAGAAGAAATAGGTGTGGGTCACCATTGGTTTCAGTTTGGGATTGATCTAGGTTTGTCTTGTCCCACAAAGTATTCAAGCTAGAAGGAAGGATTGCCACTAACAGTAGAATACTATTCTTGAAGAGTGCCCGTGCAACAACTTACTTGCACCATGTAAACTTTTGCAGGTTGTCCATCTCCCCTTGTTCACATATTATAGGCAGAAGAGCCAGGAAATAGTGTTTTCTCTCTGCTGCTCTTGGTTATCAGTTTCCTGAGCAGTTGGGAGAGTCTACTATGGTCATATTTGGAGCGAGAACGGCCTTCTTACATTGCAGATGACTTGATCATCTCGTGTTGATTGTGTGGTTTTGTGTTATGGGAGAGATCTAGAAACTGATAAATGAGTCAAGTGGTGGTGTGGTGCCGGTGGTCCGTGTTGAGGGGAAAAAAGCAGAGCACAGTGTTGATTGTGACAGCACAGTTTTCTCATTTGTTTCTGTGGTGAGGAGTGTACGTGTACCTGAAGCTTGAGTGTCACTTAGCACATGAGCAGATAATGCAGCACAAGATGCTTTGGGGGTTTGAGAGTAAATGTGCCAGAGGCACTATACTGAGAACAAGCAAAGATTCTGCTAACCCTCTGTTCTGTCTTTGACAGCAGCCCAATGCAGATGTACTGAAAATTTCCCACATTTCAAGGATCTGCAGTTCAGTTACTTTCTGAATTTCTTTGCTGCAGATTTCTTGGCTGTACTGGACTGAATACCCTGAACTTCATATAGACCTCTAGTCCTTTTATTGTTTTTTGAAAGTGTCCAGCTAAATGTGGCCTGATGGAAACTTTCGATAGTCTCCACTGGCATTCCAATAATGTTGTCTTTGCATGAAATTGAATACTTTGAGCAGAATTTACTTTGATATTGTGCGTGGGGAAGACACAAAGGATCCGATATTGTGCTTGCTAGATGCAGGTCTGAGGAATACATACAAATAAGTAAGTTTTCAGACCAGACTTCTTTGTTGAGATCTCCTGAAAATAATCCAGTCTAGTTGGGTTTTGCCAGAGATGTGAACTAATTGGTGTGGCTCTATATATGAGGGAGATAAGCAGCCAAGAGAGGGAAGAGAAGGGAAGCTTGGTGTCCAAATAGAAGATCTGCGATAGACATACTCTGTTGACATAGTTTCTTATGACCTTACTCTGACTGACTGGCAGTCACACTGACCATATCTATTCTAGCTGTGAGTCCTTTCTGGATTGGCAATGCGAGTTTCTGCTCAAAGAAGTGAATTATCTTAAAGGACATTCCTGTTTCTATTTGTCATCCTTTTGGTGCCTACTGTACTGTTACTCTATTTTTCACTTGTTTTCTTCACCTAGCCTGCCACTGTAGTTCTTTCCTTGAAGTGACATGAAGCAATTACAACAAAAATATTTCATAACAGCAAATTTTGAGAGTCTGCCTTTACTGGTATAGGTCAGTTGAGAATCAATTAAAACTCAACTTGGTCATGAACTGCACAGATGTGTGATAAGATAGTTGATGTACCAGCATAACTCTGGCTGACCTTGAAGCAACTCTTTCCTACAGGTTAGGATTAAGCAGCAGTTGCTTCATTCTTTCAAGTCTGTTATGTGTGTTTGGAGCAACCTGATAAAAATCTTAATGTGAGAAGCTAAGTTGTGTAATTGTGGTAGATCCCGCTACTTCAAGGCTCATGGGTCTTCTTTTGAAGTGTTGTATTTTTAAACGCTTTTATTTCTAAAGCATTCACATTTGCAGATTGTGTTCTAAAACAGAGGTCAGGATAGTGTATAGCACTGGATCAAAGTCCTCAGGGTAAACCAGTCCACTGTATTTCCATTTTTACATATCATAGACATTACATGCCTGCTATACATGTTGCAGCAGCAGAACCAAGATCATAGACAGCAGAAGAATAAAAAAAAAAAAAAAAACCACCAACAAGAAAAAACAACAAAAATAACCCCTTGCCACCACCCTGGTACAGAAACAAAGAGTTTATTCACATGTTGATAGTGGTAGAAAGAACATCTCAGCCTATCTACACTGTGGTTGCTTTGGTTTGCATTCTTTTTTTTTCTTAAAGAAGACTCATAACACTCTTTGCTAACCTAATTACTACTAACATGGCCAAGTGCCAGTGTAGCCAAAAGGGGGAACTGAATGTGGCAAAGCATTCACTGTGCAGAACCAGCCAGGAAGGAGTGGGGGCAGAACCTCTTGCCATCCTCTTGCTGGCAAAGCCTGCCTTGCTGTCTATGGGGATAGCAGTTTTACTTGCCACACACATGTAAAAGCACAACATGTTCCTTCCTAGTTTTACTTTAAGAATATTTCACTGTGGGAGGAACGAGAGATTGTATAGTAAGGAAAGGATTGCCTAAGCAGCTGTTTTCTAAGGGGGAAAAGGGACATGGAAACAACAGGTCAGGTACCACTGAGCTGCACTGCTCTGATAAGAAGGACTGAGAGTTAATGGGGAGAAAAGGAACATCCAGAGTGAGTGTGATTATTTAAAAAATGGTTTGAAACAGTTTAAACTGGTATTTTAAAGCTGTAATGCAAAGGACTTTCAGCCTTTGGGCCAGACCCAACCCTGCCTTCACCACAGCTGCATAAAGCCTCCTTCTGCTCCTCTCCAACATCCCTTCTTTTTTCTATTCCAGTCTGTTCTCCAACCTGTTCTCCTACTCTCTGCAAGAGCTTTTGCATACTTTCAGTCCCAATCTGCCCTGCTCCCTGCACACCTTTTTGCCTCCCACTGGGAAGTGAAAAGGCCAGAGGTGGAAAGGGAGGACTGGAGGAACAAGATTGGAAAACAACTAAGGAGTCCACAGTTTCATGGCAAGGGAACCAGGATGCCAGGAGAAACAGACTGGAAAGATGTCACGGGGCAAAAAATGTGTGGGAATGGGGATATGAGTGTTTGGATCTAGGGAAGCAGTGCTTAGTGTTGGAGACCACATGTGACATGATGTCCCTTGTGTTTGCAAGAGGTCTGGTCAACTGGCACCATGAGCTCTGTTATCAGAAGTAAGATACAAAGATGTGTAGGGGATGTTCAGACCATGAACCTGATATTAGATGAAAGGCAGATGAAACTGCTGCTTTATTACAGAAATTTTAGACAAATACTAAAGGATTATGTGTAGAGAACTCCCAAGTGGGAAAAAAAAAACCACCCAAAAAAACCATAATCACACAGGAAACCCAGCATGAAGATTGAAATGTATATGTTTTTAATCCAGGAATTCTCATGAAATGAGAAATGAAAGGCTGAACTAAAATATGTAATATATTTGAAACAAAACTCATAAAAGCTTTTATTAACAAATACCATTCATGGAAAAACAGCATGCCAAAGGTTTAGGAGTCAGGAAATTCAAGTTAGCTTTATGTCATGAAGCATGGGCTCTGCATAGCTAACTCAGGTACAAGCTTTGGCTGGAAAAGCAGGAGACACTGAAGTATCATGATTAAGGTAGGTTGGTCTAAAGTTGATCACAGTGTTTATTAATGGCATTGTATTTCCTCTTTCACTCAGGCTACCTATCTCAGCATTTACAAAAAAACAATGTGAAACAGAAATGGTGAAATAGTTGACAGATTTTCTAGGCAGTTTTTGTAGCTTTTGGCATCTGCATTATTTGAAGCAGTAGGTTGAGAGTCTTCCTGTTCAGTGGTTTGCCACTGTTTAGCCATAACTTGTTGTTGGATACATCTTGAGATTTTAATAATTTCCTGTAAGTACCTTCTGATTATCATCCCCATGAAGAAATGCAGAACAGGGTTAATTAAGACAGCCATGGAAATAAGCAAGAGTTCCTGTTATGATAATTGCATATTCAAAACTGCTATTCAAGTTAAAGCTCCAGTCTATGTTAATTATCAGTCTCAAGAAAGTATAGGGTAACTGAGAGGGGATAAACGGGACAACTATAGGAAATACTTTTTATAGATTTGTTCTTTTGAAGAATTCTGGCATGCAGTAAAGTTCTAATAATTAGTGAGTAACCAATGATGATGGCTAGCATAGGAATGCAATACGCAAGAGTCACTTGGATCACTTCAAGAGCCAATTCTGTGTGATGGTTTGGCTATTCTTCCTGACATAATGCCTTATCAATATTAAACACCTCACTAAAAAATATGGTGTGGCAAATGCTAGCATGATCACTGAGATAAGACACAGAATTATTTGCCCTGTGTCATTTGTTGTTTGGTTTGACACATATGTGTTTCGGTGGCAAAAGTGATAGCAATAAGTCAGTCAAAGGTGATAGACATTAGAGTTAACATTGAAGTGTATACATGTCATGGTGCCTAAAGTCCGCTCCTGAGCAACAGAATATCCCTAGAGTGGCAGCATCTAAAGGAAGACCTGTCAGCTATAGCCAAGTTCACCAAAAACATGTCTGTCAGCATCTTCAGTTTCACTTGGAAAACTAGTATGGCAAAGACCAGTGCATTTTCTACTAGGCCAAAGATGAAAACAACTGAATACATACAGAGCAGGAAGACTCTTGTAAATATGAAAATTCTCACTTCTGTTTTTACTGGGACCAGTGATGGAGAAGTTATAATAGAAGTTAGCAGCCTCTGTAGTTGCCATGTTGCCTTCTTTTTAAAGGCAGCCTGTAAGGAGATACATTGAGATTTTCTTTACTCAGCAAATAATTAAATCCTAATGCATCCAGGAGACAGGAAAAATCCTAAGTGCTAACAGATAAGAGTTGTAATAAAGCATACATGACAGACAAAAGCAAATCTATTTATTTGCTTAAGAGGATTGGCTTGACAGTCAAGACCCAAACACAACAGCTGGTGGATTTGAATACATCATCTGTTACCAGATCTATACCGTTGGGGACTCAAAAGCATGCTCAAAAGAATTACAAAGAAGCTTCTGAAAATAGCGTAAGGATTAAGCTTTCAAATACATCAGTGCTTTAGTGTTTGAATTGAGGTCTTCTGGGGAAACCCATGAGAGAAACAGGATTCATTTTGCCAAATCTAGCCTTTGGGCTCAGGTTGCAGGCTCTGGGTGCTGGAGTCATTTGTCTTGGGTTGGACTTGTCTTGAAAGGCATGGTTTGAGTCTCAGCAAGTGAGCACCTGTGGTTCAGTTCAGCCTCATCTTGTTTTTTAGATGTTAGTCACATCATCAGATGGTGGCACTTCTTCCTTTCCCCTTCTCAAGCGACTTACTGGAAACATGAAGGATTTTCATTGATGTATTTCTAAAAGCCATCTTTACAAGTTGTTTACCTGGTAAATTAAATCTTTCATAAGATTTAGTTTTTAAAGATTTAGTCCAAAAGTTAAATGTCCTCTCTCTTGAGCTACAGAGAATGTTTCTGTGAGACTAATCCTACTACAAGATATTACTCAGCATAAGATTAGCAGAATTCACCTCTGAATCATTAACATTGGCTGAAAGGCCTTAACTGGTGTGTTGTAACGTACAGCAGTTTGAATGTCTCTTGATTCTGCAAGGGAGGGAAACAGTATTCAGAGAAAGCAGCCCATGCAGTTAGATCTTCACAGCAGTCTGTGGTACCATTGCTGGAGTGCTTCTGGGACTCTGACTTTTAGAGCGGTGTGCTTGTACCTCTGAGTTACTTGAGTTTGGAACCTGTGAATGTGTATATAAAAAAAACCCAAACAACTCCAAATTTGACTTAATCCTGCAGCATCATTTACTAAAATAAGACTACTGACACAAAGCTCTGCGATGCCCTTTAAAATTGAGTTGTTCCTTGTGCTTCATTGCATGTGGTAGCAATTTCTCTGCCTCTGAAAAAGAAACTTGAGCAAGGTGCTAAATATTCACAAACTGCTCCTGTCAAATAGAGTAGAAATGAGTTGTGAAAACCACCTGCTTTTATCAGTTATTTTCAGATGCAGAACAGAGTATGAGGATGATACAGCAGTAGCTAAACTATGTGGTAGCATCTGTACCCTAAAGCAGTGTGAATGTCTGCCTTGAGAAAAGATAAAGTTCCCACTGTGCTGCAGAGGGCCAGTGATTGGCCCTTTCTAACAACGAGGCTCATTTAAACTCCTTAAAACCAGAAAATGTCACTTGTGAAGTGTCTTAATCATGCATTTATGGAGAGCTCATCTAAGCTACGCTGGTCACCCTAGTTCACAGTGACCTCAAGTCACCAGAGATGCTTCTTTCTCAGACTGTATGGGCAGGGATGGCCTTCCCATGGAGATCAGTACTCTTCCTCCCAACATCCATTTGCCCTTATCCGTACATAATAAATCTTGGGATCAATTCTGTAACTTTTAATATACTCTTTACCAAAGATGACTGCAGTATCAGCAGTATTCAACCCTTAGTCCTGCATTTGGGATCAAAAGAAACTCATACATACTTCATTTCTGCTTGCTAACCTACCTGTAATTTGATCTGTTTCCTCCTTTGTTTCATAATCTGTGTTTCCATATAATAGCTTTTTGATGGACTGCTCAAAGAAGCCCTCTCTGGCATAGAAATGGTAAAAACAGAGGTGGGCTGTGTGAGTTCACCTCAGGTAGTGGGCTGAGAGATTAGCTGTTACTTCTGTACAGGTCAGTCTGAAAACATTTAATTGTATAGCTATGAAGCTCCCTGTGTGCAGAAACCACATCGGCTGCAGGGAACCTGCAGGCTCTGGGATGGAGCAGCCTCTGTGGAGGTACAAGCTGGGCATAGAGGGCTAGGGAGCCTGGTGGATAGTGATGTAAACCCATGCCAGAAACAGCCTCTGCTATACCTCTCCTATAATTCTGCCTCAGCTTCCTTGTAATAACCTCTAAAGAACTGTGCAAAGAAAAAATGCAAAGTATCTAAGCTAGTGTTACCCACAGAGGTGACTGTAGCCTTGGTGATCTACAGACTGTGCAGTATTTGGTATATTTGGGCAGCAGCTTGCCAGTGTTTGTAGTGTTGATTCTCATAGTCATCTGTTTGCTGCCTCCTGCTGGGGAGGGGACTTGAAAGTACCGTGGTAATTCCTAATCACTTATTCTATACCTTTTGCAAATGAGCATTTGAAAGCTGTCTGCATCTCAGAGCCTTTGCCAAACCTCTTCCCTATCGCAATACTGAAAAAGAACCATCATAAGATTTTGCATGTTGTCCCCTGGAGCATGGAAATATTACTTTGTCGTGATTGTTTCCCTAGCTTGCTTTCTCTGTATTGCCTCTGGTCTTACAGATAGAGTATAACCAATTTTAATACCAATTTTAAGGCAGGAGAATGCTTTTGTATTGTTTCTTCTTTTGTTGTTTTTTTGTGGTTTCTTGTTTTTTTTATATACAGGATATGGTGTAGTTAAATCATACAGAGGGTTTTTTTGAGAAATAGATGGGATTTCCTATGTACCAGTAAGCAGGTCACCCACAGCACATGGTGGTAGATCTTCATGTCCATCCATGGTTTTTTCCCATCAGTTATCTGTGTGATGCTTTCCCATCCCAACATATGTCAGGGTTTGCTCATAACCTTCCCATCCCTTTCCCACCCATACACCATGCAAGACACTGTCACGCACCCTGTTAAAAACAGTGAGCTCTGTATCCCCCATACTCCACCTCAAATCAGCCTCTTTTCCTGCCCTTGTCAAGGGCAGTCTGTGGCATCCTTTCTTCCGATCCTTCACCATCTTCTTTCTTTTTCTTGTTCTTTGTTGGGCTGGAGGGGAAGGCTAATAACTAAGTTAGGGTGCTTGGGGTGGTTCTGACCTGCTAGATAACAGCAGGCCCAGGGAACCTATGGTGCACTTCAGCATAATGCCTTTGATTGTTTCTTTGCATTTTCAGATGTGTTTGCTGGGCTAAGCAGCTGTTAGGGGCTCTGTACAGCCTCCACTCTCCGTTTCAGGTTTCTGGCTTTCACAGAATTCGGTAAGATTCTCACCCTGGATGACTGAAGTTCTCTCCAGAAATCGCTGCGCTGCTAACAGGCTTTTGGGATTTCACTGCTTAGCCGTGTGAAGCCAACACCTCAGACACGTAGCTATAGCTGTCAGAGCTCAGGTGTTTATGAAAGCAGAAAATTGCCAAGTGCAGAGTTGAACCAGCTTCTTTCAGGATTTAATTCTGAAAGGGACTTCTAACTCCCAAAGCCACTTATGATGTTGACCACAGCATGTTTAGTATCATTTGTTAGAAATGCTTTCCATGTATAAGAACAGGCATACTGGACAAGGCCATCCACCTGAGGGACAGTGACCAATAGCAGCTGCCTGAGGAAGAGCATAAGAACAGGACAGGCATGAAGTGATACTTCAAAATGCTCCACCAGCCTGTGACAACCTGTGTCTTGAGGATTTGCTGAATCAGAGCTGTTCTCTTCCTCCTGTAGTGTCTTTTCCATGCTTCAGTTCTTCCTGCTTTTCATCCCCACTTCATTTCACTTAAAAAAAAAAAAAGAGAAGAAAAAAGTCCAGACTGTTTAAATAGATAGAGTAGAGGATATGTACTCATAAGCTGGGGACCTGGCAAGCTGGAGGAACGTCTTAATGCTGCTACGTAGGGTGAATAGGTCATGCAAGAATAAATTCTCTTGTCAGGGGGACAAGAGCTTCAGTTAAATCCTGAGACTGTTTCTTATATTTTCCACATAGGGTAGCAGACCTCAGTTTAGACTGTTGGACTGAATGGGATATCACAAAGAGAAGGAGGATTTGCTTTGTGATTATAATGCACTTTGGTTTAATACACAAAGTGAGAGACTTAGCATTTCCTTAGCCTATAGTGAGTGGATGTGTGGTGAATTTATTTATTGGAGCAGCCAAGTGGAAAGCTAACCACCTAACCATGTACTGGGTTGCAGCAGCAGGAATAAGGAAAATCACATGTTAGAGGAGATCATGGAAAATATATTGGTCCTGGGATTTAATTTACATTTCAGAGTTCCAAACAAAAGGTGAAATTAATGAATTAAATAATGAACTCTAATGGTATTTTTGTAATAAATACTGGAGTTTGACACTTCTGGAAGCCTGTAGTCATGTAGTTCTCTTTGTCTACATTAATTCAAGGCTGTGAAATTAAAGCTGTGTAGCTATCATGGTGGGAAGGAAGACTTATATGGATCACAGCATGAAATCTGTTGCTGTTACCACTATGCAAGCAAAATATACATATAGGTTTACAAGCTACAGTTTAGTTTTCTAGGTGTTGGTGGGTTTTTTTCCAGAATCAGTTTTCTTATCTAGTTGTATAAAGATAATTAACAATGAAATTATTTTTATCACTTGCTAAGTATTTTCATAGATGTTGCATTGACCTTTATGGGCCAGCTTGTAGTATGTCATTTCTACATTTCAACTGGGAGGTAGTGTTTGATTATAGCTCAAGTTCTGGCACTTAATTACAGCTGTGAGTGTTCTGTACATATCCCAACTGTCTCTTTAGAGTATTAACAGTAGTGGCATGAATCTGAAGAAGTCAAAAGTTATCCAAGTGGCTACAGGAATAAGAAAACAGGAATAACAGAACATGAATTCTGCAGGTAACAGTGCTTTGACTTCAGGAAATATGTAGACAGTGGGTGCAGGGGTTTTTTTTCTGCATTCATTTGCTGCATATTGCAGTCATAAAAGTAAATTCTTCATATTTCTAACCAATAATACCACTACACTAGACTTACACCTGGTTGCATGTGCTGCCACAGTATATTCAGGTGCTGCTAGTGACAAGCTGAAGGAGTTGTTACCTGGAGATATTTTCTCCTGCTCTTGTGGAGAAATGTCCCATTGGATTTAAAAGGAAATGCTAAACTGTGCAGTGCTTTTGAGAATTGCTCTACAGCAAGTATGGCAATTATGCCCTTTTGGGGCGTGATTACACTTGGTGGTTCAGAAGTGCATATGGTATTACATTTTGTTAGATTCCACTGGTTTTTGGAAGGAACTGACCAGGTGGTTTCCTGTATATAAGAATCCTTGGCATTTTTTCTGGGAATGACAGTCTTATTGTCTCAGTTATCAACCTGCTGAAATGCTGAGAAGCAAAACAAGAACTAGTTAGAGAAGCTCTAACTTACTTGGAAACTATCAGCATTTGTTTACTGACTCTCAAACTCATCCTACTCCCTGTGTCCAGCCCTGTAATTTCTAATTGATGCTACTCCATTGTTCACCCAGAGCATGCACCCTTTTGGAGGTAAGGAGTGGATAGCAAGTTCTTCCATCCTCTTCCTCTGCTCTTCTGGACACATCATGGTGTGGAGGAGAGGTCCTGCTTTGTCATCTCATATTCCTTGTATGAAAAGAAGGCACATGGTAGTGATTCTGCAGTGATAAAATATGTTTTGTGTACAATTGTCAGAGTAAGGAACTGGATAATATGCTCAAACACCTCACAGATAAATCCAGGAAAATGTCTTATCCCTTTGCCAGCTTTGATTAAGGGACAAGTGCAGACTATTTTGCTTGTGTCTGGCCTCCATGAAGTTTCCACCTGCCAGGGAATCTTTCAAACCTGACAGCATCTCAGTATTATCTTATGATTGCAGAAGAGATGTTTTGGATGTACTTATGTATTCTTCTTAGCTCATGAAACCAGGATAGGAACAGTTTTATGTTTGTGCCCAGTGGTGAGCAAATAGGGCTGCAGTTTTGCCCAGGCAGTTTTGTCACTAGAATGTGCAAAATAAGAACCCTAGAATTTGGTATTAGAACTATCAAAGTGTTTCTATTTTAGGAAGGCATCAGCATGCAGATGGTATTTGACCACATACTACTCAGGTAATCATGATTTTCCTTTTTTCCCTTGTTCTAGAAACAGTACCTGTAATTCTTCAACCTTTGATGAATCTGAAGAGTGGCAACTTGCTCAAGATGCTGAGATATGCTTGTTGAAGTCAGGAGAAATCATGTAAGCAGAACAGTTTCGTTACGTCCAGGCTGAAAGAATAAAGGCTGAGATCAGATATCAGCTATGTGAGCACAAGTCTTGCAGGCTCCTGGAAGAGCTGATCCCTTGTGTCCTGCAGTAGAATTTGATCTGAGGAGGATGAGAGAGTGTAACTCAACTACACAGAGCAGCAGCAATAAACCAGGTCCTCCCTCTTCAGTCCTACAAAACTTTAGTGCAAGTGGGGAACGAGAAGGAAAGATGTATGTCCACATCACACCAGAAAATCTTCCTTTCTATTCTTAGAAGGAGGTACTGTCAACAGGAAGGGGGCTTAGAGGGCTGTGCAGTTCTAGCAGTCGCTGAAAGAGACTGCAGGGACAAGTCGGGGAGTGCACTGCTAGTTGGACCTGTTTGCAGTCTGAAATAGATATCTGAATGAGGTCAGCTCATATAATGCTTTAGGACTTTAGCACTGAGATAATGCTTCATCTAGATGCTAAGAACTTCCTTTTTAATTGGAAGTATTTTGAGGCAGCTTTTTTACAGCTTGTTTGGGTAAAATAGACCAAGATGTAGCATTAAGTGCTTCATAGGATTTAGAAGGATCTGCTGTCACATTTCATCCATCCATCCCCTCTGTACTCCTGATCCCCATTTCCTGTATAAATGATACCGAGAAAGGTGAATAAATTAGGTAACTTATTTTTTGTTTAAATTTATGTTTAAAAAGAACAGTAGAGGGCAGCAGACTCCTTTTTTAATTGTAGTGACTCTAAAAGGCTTTATTCCAGCACTGGTTTTCTCTAGGTGAAATGAAATAAACAAGTGAACAAAATCCACATTTGCCAGAGCAGTGAAAGTTCTTAATATCAGTCAGCTTTTCTGTAGTTTTTGCCTTCCTCTAAGGCTGAATTTTCATGCATTTTGTGGACCTGTCCAAAATATGCTGTGGAGTCTGCCCCAAACAGATGCAAAATAAAAAGCAGTGATTAGTGGGTTTGTCTGAGTAAGTGGATTGGATCTCTTCAAGTAATTGTATTTTTCTCACTCACAGGATCAAATTACCCCTTACAGTGGAAGAGATCATAAACTTTGGAGAAAGCAACAAAGAGCTGTTCATTAAATCCAGCACCTACAGTATCATTCCCATCACTGTTACAGAGATGGGGCTAACAATTAGCTGGATCTTTTCATCAGACCCCAAAAGCATATCCTTCAGCGTTGTCTACCAAGAATCTGAAGACACACCACTGGATCAGTGCAAAGTAAGACCTTTGTTTCCTTACTACCTTAGAGACTGTAGTACTCTACAGTTGGCTGCCTAAAGGAATCAGCAAGTATCACTAGGAGGTCTCACCAAAATGCCAGTTGCTATTGCATTAAGGATTTGTTTCTCCAGTTAAGCTGCAGTTCTGCTAAAGGCAGGGCTACATCTGTAGTTATTTAATGTCGCCTGCAAAAGTTCAGTTGAAAAGCACTGTAGCTTCTACTGGTTGCATCTGAAATTCACCCACTATTATTAAACAAAACCAAAAGTTCCAAGCCTGCAAAATTCTTCTTTTTTTCCCCTTTTTCAAACTTACTTAATTTCAAGCCCTTTAGGGCAAATTTGCCAGGTCTTGAGCAGAAACCACAAGAAAACATAAATTGCTTGGGTTATCTACATTTCTTACAATGAAGCATAAGCTTGATGGTGTTCAAAATTGCTTTGCCAGTGACCAAGGTACCAGTTTTTATATGTGCTGTCCATATTTCATGAGGATTATGGATTAAGTGAATCTATTTTACTCAAGTAATTGCAAAGTTTTACTGAAGACAAGGCAGCTGTTGGTTTAATCCACCATGGTAGAGAGAACTCTACAGCTGTGATTTACTAGGGGAATAAAACATTTATATAGCATGTGTTAATTCACTCCATGGTTACCAACTCCATGTAAAATATCTCTTAATCTGAAAGCTGAATGAAGTGTGAATGTTGCTTTTGTCTTGATACATTTATTTGATATAACTTCTGAGTTTTATGGGGTCCTTCTTGATCTATGTCAGCTGCTCTTCTGACAACTGTTCTAGGGTTTTACAGCAAGACACATAGAATCATAGATACACATGCTTTTGCTGTAAGCTCAGATAAACAATTAAGATTTGCTGAGAAAGCTTATTTTATAATACAGGGAGTATAAAAGCATATATTAAAAGACATATTTAGCTAAATCTTGCTCTTCGATATATGGATTTAAGGCAGTGTTAGTAAAGTTGCTTAGATTAACATTTAAAAGATCAGGATTTGATTCTATCTCTAAAGCAGAGATTTATAGGTTATTGTTGTAAAGAGATTATCAGAGGAAAACAGGTATCTCACTGTGAGATTTTACCTTGGGTGAGGTTTTAATGCTCATCAGTTAAAATAATTAGTTTTGCAGGCATATATGCACTTTGGGAGTTTCAAGGTGGCTGAAGTCTAAATACTTTTCTGAAGGCAAATGTCAATTTATAGGGCAAATAGCAAGCTTCATTTTGATTTGTATTGAATTCCAGGTTCTTATCCCTATGACTCGCTGCAACTCTCATAAGGAAACTATCAGAGGACAGGTGAAAGTCAGAAACCCTGGAATCTACACACTGATATTTGATAACACATTCTCTAGGTAAGTCCTAGCTGGGTGTAAAAGGTGAAATAAGCTTAGTTTTAGAGACTGTGGAACTGATCAGATGTATCATTATTCTTCCATTCAGAAGTAAGTATGAGAAATTGGCCAAGAGATCTTTAAGGTCGAGTTTTGGTTCTTGTTCTTGTTTGGGTTTTTCTCTCCCCAGAACAGAATTCCACTCTTCTGTTTCCACCTCTGGGAAGGTAAACAGCAGTAAGCCAGACAGTTTGGTCAGGATTGTCATTTTATTAACAGGAGGCTTAACAGCCCTTTGCACAGGCAGACTTTCTTTTGACAACAGTCAATTTTTTACTTACATATAAAGTGAAAGACTGAATACACTTTTAAGGCTTCTTGTCTAGTTGACTTCAGCTAACATGATCTTTTTGCTCTCTCTTCTTCCTTGACAGGTTTATCTCAAAAAGAGTGTTTTATCACTTGGCTGTTGAGCGACCCGTCATCTATGATGGAAGTGATTTTCCATAGCCTTGACTATACTGTGTTATTTTTAATTAAATTTTTAAGAAATTATATTATTTATGTACATGTAAGCAGACTGATTACCACTGTGTTTGAAGACTCTGAAACTATGCAATAGTTATAATGCACTTAAGAAGAGATGGATACACTAAAAAATGGAAGCCTTTTCAGGAACACTAATGGTTCTGTACTGTGTACAGATTGCTGAAAAGCCAATGTTTGATTTAACAGGTCAATAATAACCAATTTTTTTTTTTTCAGTGGGGAGAAAAATAAGTGTGTGGGTGTCTAAATGCAAACTGAAATTCTCTGCTGAATTATCACATTATTTTTCTTCCAAAAATATCCTTCAAAAGGAAATTTAAAGAAAAAAGTGTATTTTTGACCTCTTCACTGAGGAGTAAACATAACCATTTCTGTTCTGCTACTCTTACAGTCAGAACAACAATTATGCAATATTTCAATCTTCACAGGCCTATATTGTAATCCATCTAAAATTTTTTATCTTTTCCAAGTTTTATAAACAGCAAACATAGGAGTTTTTTAAATTCTGGGCTAAGATTTGGTAAGCCTTAGCTGGCTTTTACAAATGCTTTATCACTACCAGTTACAAAACAATACAACATGAAGCAGCAACTCCTTTCACTTTCGCTCACCGTACTCTGTACATTGGTCCATTCTTACAGTAGCAGTGGCAGAACAAGGAGTATCCTCTGTAAAGTACTGCTCACTGTGTGATATTACGAGGAAGAAAATTCCTTTTTCCTGCCTTAGCACCTTAGTCATCAGCAGTCATAGGAAAGCACAGTTTCTGAGGACATGAGCAGTGTCTCTCTCTCTCTAGACCACGTGGAAGGCAGCAATAATGTTTGAACTGGTCTCAAAACGTCCATCCAAACTGAATGAATATCCAGGCCTGAGGAGCTCTCCACCCAGTGTTAGTGTATTCTCTCCCTTTCCTAAACCTTGCAGTTGCCCTATCCAACTGCTCAGTTTTCATCTTGGATCTGGAGAAAGAGCTGGCTGTAAACACTGCCTCTTAAGGGAAGACTGGGTTCTCATTTATACAGAATTTCTACGCAAACCATCTGCTTTCTATATAGAATTTTATCCTTTTGTCAAAATATCTGAAAGCAGATTTTTTTGTTTTAAAATCCTGTCCTCTGATGGAATGGCAAAACATTTGGCAGGATAAAGGAGAAAAGCTCTTTCTCCCAACCAGCCCTCCTCATCATTTTAGGTGTGTATGATTTCTCATGTCATTGTTCTCCCAAGGAAACCTCAGACCTGGAAGGTTTTAGTGCAACAGTTGGTAGAAGACCAGCACAGCCTGTCAGGAACCCTGTAGAGACCTGGTGGCAGCTGTAGCTGATACACAGGAGTCATTGTAAGAGACAGAAAGTAAAACATGAGAAAGAAGAAAAAGAGGCAAGCACAAGCTGAAGCAAATGGTTTAGGGGAGGGTAAGGAGGCAAACTTGTAAATGTAAAAGCAAGAGCAGGGAATTGGAAGGATCAACTTGACTAGGGAAGAAAGTCAGGGGAGTCCAGCTGGTGTTTATATGTCACTGGTCCAATCCATTACCCACAAGGGATTTCCAGCATCAAAAGACTGGTTGGTTGTTTAAAAGATGATCACAAACAAGTGTTGGACACAATATATAAATGCAGTGATCTTGAAAAAGACTGTGAAAGAATAACAACTTTTCGTGGAGCACCTGGATTTTAGGTGTCTGGCTAATGGATAGTGTTTCCCTCCCTTCAACTGCCTTCTTGCCCATACCAGTAGTGTGCTCCCCAGCCTCTGCCAGGTAGAGGGGTCAGTGCAAAGTACAAGCAGATTTATTCTTCCTCCTGAGGGCTACAGTGCAATTAAACCCATACCTGGCTGTGTGCATGAAAATGAGATGGACAAAGATGGACATGGGCAATAAACAGGCCATAAATAGCACACGGATCGGTTCAGGAATTATGGCATATTTCAGTGTTGAAGCTATGTTTTATATTTAATTAGGCAAGAAGAGATTATTTATTGCTTAAAAATGGAGCACTGTGTACCATATGCTATGCAATTTCACTGAGCTGTTACTGAAGTCTGCTGCAGTTTTCCTTTAAGCTTTTAGGTGTGGTTTTTAAAAGCATTTTGCTGTTCTTAGGTAGAATACTAATCTTACTGGGATATCTTTCTTAAAATGCCAAATGTAAGGTAAAGGGACACTGTCAAGTAGCTTGGGCCAAAATATGACATCTCTGTTCAAAAGTATTTGAAGTCTCTCTATTCAAAATTATTTGAAAAATATTGAAAAATTATCTTCGTTTCCTCTCCACATCCAGTTCTTAACTGTGGCAAATATTTTTAAGCCACTGTTTATGTAACTCCTAAAGTAATTGTCTCCATCTAGTAAGCTCGATGTTTCCCTGAAGGTCTTTCATGTTGACAGTCCTGAGACTGGCTAAAGCATATGTTTGGAAGGAGGGGAATAAAACCACTGGATTGTTTTCATTTAGCATTTGAGTCTCTATGGTACCTTTTCTTCAGGTTTTCCTGCCCCTTGAGAGTAGTTTTATGGCTTTTTTTTTCCTCTCTGAAAGAGGACTAAGAGTGGAAGCCAGAACCTGTAGTTTAAAGATCAAAAGGTTTGCTCCTAACCAAGGAGAGTATTTAAGGAGAAAAAGTTTCAAATGATGAAATACTCAGGATGCTAAGGTACAGGAGTGCTAAGGTACAGGTACAGGTAAGGACAAGAGTGCAGCTGTTCAAAACCAGCTTGTCAACAACAAGAATCCCATCATACCAGCTAGAAGAGGCTGTGCAGAGAAGATAGTAAAGAACCTGACATTAGTACTGACCTTTTGTTTGAATGCCACTGGAGCTATGGAAACCCAATAAAGGACTTTGCACAAGTGCAGGTTTGTGCAAGACATTATTTCGTTCAAGCACCTTATATCTCCATTCATAAGGCATTTGTTTGTGTGAGCTGTGCTAGTGATGCTGAAAAGTCTGTTTATTTACAGGTGCTCAGGTGATTTGTTGAATTGGGCTTTTTATTACCTGCAGGAATGCAATTAGGAGAAAAGAAATATATAAAATTGATCATAAAATTAATTGAAGGGGATGTCTCACTCGTAGGACAAAGAGATTATATACTGTGTTCAGCATAAGCAATTGGGTGATTTTCCTGGGTGCTGGAAAGGGTTAGGAGGTATGGAGGGTAAGATTTTTGTTATACAGAGGTTTATGTGAAGAAAAGAATGTAGTTTCTTTAAGAAAATGACAGTGTTCCTTTACTCAATCTTACTCAATGTTTCTTAATGAAAAATGACAGAGATGTATTGCACGAGAACATACCATGTTACAAAATTGCAAAGCTACAAAAGCCTGACTTTGCTCCTTCCTCAAAATTGAAATTGCACTATAGTTTTAATCATGCTCAATCACTGAGGTTGTAACTTGTTCAGAAGCATCTTTTGGTCTAAACTGCCAAAGAATTGCAAACCCTGTTCACATCAAACTTCTTGCTCCAGATATGGGAAAAATTATGTATACCAGTGTCTGTTACAGAGATGTAGACGGTTGTGTACTGGAATGTTTCTTGATGCTTTTTTTTCCCCTTTTTTAACCTCAGGAATTAAAAAATAAAATTCTTTATCGTTGTGAATGTATGTCCCTTTCCTGCCTTGTCGAGATAGCTTTGTGTGGAAGATAAATCTGATAATTGTATGGTCTACTTCTAAGTGGGAAAAGCTTTTACAAAATAAGGAAAATAGAAAATAGATTGTCAACTATTTCACAAATAGTGGTGAAAGGCCACATCTGTACAGTACAACAGAGGAACAGTGGAGATCCTTAAGTGAGCCAGTCTTCAGAGGTAGAACCAGAGCAGCCTCAAGGACAGCAAGTAAAGTCACTGTTGTCCCTGACAGTGAGCCGCATGGTCCTTCAGCTTAGGGCTCCCATCTGGTTTTCCCCAGGTCATAGCTGGCTCTGTATGCCTGGGTTATGTGGCATGGCAGCGAGAGGCCAAGAAGTGCTGTGTGAGTCACAGTCACTCTTTGGGTGTCACCTCAGTGTTTGCATATGTAATCCCAGCCCCAGGACACATGGTAAACACATGAGCTGCTGGGGCCATCCAGATGGGTCAGGGGGACAGCAGGCCACATCACCACCAGTCATTGCTTCTTTTGTCAGCTATTTCTCTTTCCTCACAGGAGTTTGCTCCTGGGGTGGAGGCTGCGATGCAGCCTGTCCCCACACTCCAGCAGGAATATATGTGACATGAGTCTGTGTTTCAGACTGATCTATGTTTGTGGAATCTTCCTTCTTCTTCCCATCTTCCTCAAGTTTTGTTTTTATTATTCGTTTATTAAATTAAAATATGAAATTCAAGGTTATCCTCATATTGTGCGATCCCTCATTTCAAAGCTACAATTACAAACAGAAGTCTCAGAGCATCTCCAGGGGCATCTCCAGAGGATGACACAAAGCCTATTTTCAATTTTTATTTTCAATGCCTATGTGAAGAATTTAGATACTGCATCTGTCTTATGAATATTCCTGATTTTGCCTAAGTCTAGAGTTATCTTGCTCTGCAGAAACATCAGAGAGTGAAATTCATGCTGCTGCCTGGTAGTGCACCTTGTCACTTTATCACTGCTGAAGTGATATAGTCCCAGTTCCACACTCAGAAGCTTCTCTCTAGGACAGGGTCTCCAGCAAAGCCTAATCTGGAGTACAAGGGATCTGCCAAGACTGAGATTTACAAATACACAATACATGTGTAAGTGACCTTACCCTGCTGCACATCAGCTCTGCAGGGAAGGCTGTAGCTATTGAAAACCTTTGTGTACATTTCCAATAATCCATTTTTACCCATGCTGATTACCACCACCCTTCCTTGGTGCTAGCGACAAGGCTCTCCCAACCACACTTCTGCCTTATATTTCTGTTTTGCTGTGAGGAACGTGTGAAGCTGCCACAAGACAGCAGTACCCTCTGCATCAGTCCTTCAAGTGTCACGGGGATGCTTTGAAGCCCAAGTATAAGGTTTAAAAACATGGCCCAGGAGACTTGGAAAAATCAGGCAGCACTCGAAGGCACTGGGAACCACAGTATCTGTTCAGTTAAATAAAGGATAATTGATTCAGAGCATACTTGGGTCTGCACATACTGAACTCAGATCAATGGCTGACTTTATTTATCATCACTTGAGTGATGCTTGCAGCTTTAATTGCCGTACTTTCACACTCTTCCATCACTTCCCTGCTCTCTGGAAGAGGCACTCCTATAAAGCATGTCTGTTTCAGGCAGGAGCAGGCATCAGGAAGGCAGGTTTGCCTGAGGAGAGTGAAAGTTTCTTATCTGCTCTCTCAGCTTCCTCTCCCTGTACCACAAGCAGCGTGGTGCTGTGCTACGTGACTGCCTGCACCTTGGTCTCTGAGTGACAGCACTTAGGGCAGACAAAGTCAAGCTGCTCCTTTAAAGAAGAGCGACAGCAGAGGAGACTACAACCCAAAACTGGGAACATCTATGAAAAAATGGCCTCAAAGAGAGCAGAGGGGAACGAAGCCATGGAAGACCTTAGGCCTCTCCTGGGGCTTCCAACAAGTGCTTAGTGACCATCCTGCTAGAGCTGTGGGTAAGACATGAGCAGTGTCCCACGGGAGGTGTGAAGGGACAGGGGAGACAAACCCTTTGCCTTCACGGAAAACTCCCCTCCTGGGAAAGTGCATCAGCTGAAGGCTGGGGACAGCCTAGTGAGGCATGAGAGCAATTTTGGTAGGATAAATTCAACTAAAACATCGGGGCAGAAGGACAGAGGAGCCCCAGGAGGGTTTGACCACAAGGAGTTATGCTGCTGGCAGATGGAGGCCCTCAGCAGATGGAAGAGGGGGTAATGACAGAAAACATTTCCATGACTGAGCCACTGCTCTGTGGTGGCCAGCAACAAGGGACCCCACCAGTGACGAGGCTACAGCCAGAGGGCCTGTAGGTAGGCAGCTTCCCTGCAAATACATGAGGCACCAACAGCCTCGGAAGCCACCAGCAGCTGCTGGACTGCAGGCAGCCGTGGTGGAACAAGCCCAGTGAGGGAAAACCCATCCCAGAGGGGCTGGGCCCTGGCAAAGCAGCAGGGAGCAGCCTGACTCAGAGCAGGATGTTCATGACCCAGGGATGACCCCATCACCCCAAACTGCTCCAATTTTGTTGTCGCTTCACCACCCTCAGCAGTTTCACCTGCTGATCAAGCATGAATATTTCTCGTGGCGTTTTGGGGAGTGAAGAAGCTTTTATCTTCTCTGAGAAGGCCACAAAATTCAAGTTCCCGGGAATGCAGGGAAGAGGAGCTTGAGGCCCCCAGACAGGACCAGAGGTTGGCAGCCCCTAAAGTTTGCACACTTGTTTGTTTGCATAACTCGGCGGCTCTTTGGGGCCAGGAGGACCCTCTGACTAGGAGCACCCTCAGCCATGGGAAGGGCTGCTATGGGAAAGCATCTGCCCCCAGTGTGCTCCCTCCTCCCCTGCCCTCAGAAACCCACCTTCCCTCCCAAAACTCCACCCCACCCCTCGTCTCAGGAGCTTAAACCTGCTGGTGCCTGCGGAGTTCTCAGCTGCATCCCAAGGGTTAGATATGTGAAGTAAACCCTGTTAGCAAAGCTTTCCTTTGGCCTTTTGGAGATGGGTAAATCCTGTCAGTGGAAACAGGTCATGTGTATGGATCCAAACCTGGGAAGGACGTGTGGGCAAGAAACAACCAGTTCATCCTTTTGGGATATGTGACAGTGCCTTTGTTTAGCAGAATTTCAGCTTCTGTTTGCTGAATACAGATTGCAAAAACCCCCAAACTCTTCTTGCACATACGGTAAAAAATATGTACATCTTTGACCATTTTTTTTCCCTAAGGAAAAGTTAAAAAAGTATTTTAAAGTCCAATAAATGTATATAGAACTAGAACCCCATCTGCTTAGATGTACCCTATCCACTAGAAAAGCAATGCCAAACGATGCAGAAACCTTGTGTTTATCAACACTCTTTAATGATAAATGCACAATGAAACCACTTTTTACCTGGAAGAAATAATTAACCAGAAAGCAAACTAGGTTAAATGAGATTATTTAAAACAAAACCTCCAGAGCACTATGACTTGCAATTGAAGACTGGGAAGTGGAGGCTTGCAGTCAGGCAGGACAGGCAATGCCATGTCCCTGTGAGGGGATGAGCGAGGCACAATGGACACACGATTTCCTGTGGCTTCAGGCACTGTTACAGCACCAACACCGGCACTCCAAAAGTCCTATAGAAGTTGTGGGGTGCATTACAGCACAGCATTTTGGGAACTGCTGCCTCTGCCAACCTGAAGTCTCATTCCAAATGTCGTTAAGTTTGACACTTAATAATGCTTTGTCTTAGTGGCACCAGGCTAAATATATTTTGTCACTGTTAGCAAAGATACCAGCACATAACTGGCAGTCAGCTGAACCACGGGTTTGGTTTTTGTGTTCTGGTTTACTACAGTTTTGCACCATTCAGAAAATATCCCTGGGACAGACAGTGCAGTGTCTCTGATCCCCTTGAATTTTTACTGTGAGGTGTGATTTGTTTCCAGTACCAAAGTAGGAGCTATAGCATTAATTGTACCAAATTTCACCTGACACCACACAGCTAAACTATAGGAGAAAGGCAGGTCAGATTCTGCAATGACCAGTTTATACAATTAGAAGAGGGGATGTGTGGGAGGCGTCTGAAGGCACAGAGGATGCGCCGAGGTACAGAGCGCACGGCGCATGCCCCGGAGTTATTAAACTGATTGGTTAAGAAAGTCACATGATATACAAAAGGTCGCGCGAGTTTGAAATAAGGTCTCTTTGCCTCACCGCCCACCAGGAGTGCCATTCATTTCCTTGCTACACAAGGGCCTACCGCAACAAGGTCGTTCTCGGTGGTGATCTTTTTTACTTTGCTTCTAAAATTAATCTTAGCATTTTCTAACCTTTTCTTATTTTTTCCTCTTTCTCTTTGCACCTCTTAGCAATTAATAAAAAACAGTTTTGGTCTCAACAGATAACTTGTATGAGTTTTAATTTTGCTCAAGGGAACGTTCGAATATAAAAATTCTTTCTGCAATATTTTAGCAGATTGTAACATTTCTTTTGGCGCAGCGAGCAGGGTTTCCCTTAAGCAAAACTGTTTATTCCAAAACTTGATAATTGCTAATTTTTATGATCGATCATTCTGTGATAGGAAAATCAGAATAAGGTACCTTCCTTCCTACCTTACCTACCTCCCTTCCTACCTCCCTTACCTTCTTTTCCCTTCCTTTCTTTTTCTTTTTTTTTGACTTTATGACTGTGTGACTTAAGGACTTTGACTTTACAAGTTGTTTTTTATGTTTTTTCATGTTGCTTTGTTTTGTTTTGAAGTTAATGTGCACATTGTAATTTAGTGCTTTCTGGGGAGAAAGGGGTGAAATTTTGGAAATTAACTTTTAAGAGGGGCCCCCCAGATAAGCTCACCCCGGTTTTGGTTGTAACGTAACTTTTTTAAGAGGTAACTCTCTGGAGGAAGGAGCGAGACTTTGGGAAATTTGCTGTAACTTTTAAGAGGGGCTCTCCAGAGAAGACTGCTCCGAATTTGTGAGGTAACTTTTTTAAGAGGGGCCTTTCCA